TTAAAGTTGCCAAGGTTGGAGACTCCTGATGTATTTGGTGGTTGATTATTCTGCTTTGGAAGTGTGTTTATGATTATTTAATAGCCTGTTGTAAAACTGTTAAGCTTAGATGAATTAGTCTTTCTAATACCACAATGAATTTTCTGTACATAGTCCATGCTATTCTGTAACAAGTGAATATGACGACAGCATTTGTGCTCTCTGCAAATAATGTTTTATTGTATTTATGAATGGCTGATGAATTTAAACGCTGTCAAAATGCTTGGCAATAATTTATGCTGTAAGAGACATTGCTGCTACTAAGGGAGAAGAGTTTTAGAAGTTAACTTATAATACCCTTGCAACTATAGGATGCAAAATTGACTAGGTTGTGGAAGGATCATGCTTTTAGAAGTCATCATTAAATATCAAAAGGTTACAGGCTAGTGACCGGCCTTTGATGTTCAGGAGACCTTTGAACTGTACATGTAGCCTCCCCCCCCCCCCCCCAAGTCCATTGACTCTCATCTGGTACCAATTTACCTTGACCATTAGTGGATCAGATTTTTGTATATACAGTAGGTTGCACGGAATAAACTTGCAGTACTTTCTGAACTCTGTCCTGGCTTCTAGTTTCCTGACACCACCAATCAGGTTTGACATCAGGTGTTGTTTTTTTAAAAATAACTCTTCATTGGAGAAATTGCTATATTGTTTTAACCAATTAGCACACAAAAACCATTTCCAGTAAGGGATATGTAAATGATTTCAAATTAGTGATATAGCTGCTTTAATGAAATAAAGTGGACAGTACTGTACAGCAGTCCATCTAGTTGAACAAAGTATCTGACAATCATCTTGTGTGTTTTTGTCCCTATCTTTTCTCCTGGAATATTTTTAAAACTACAGACAAAAAACATTTATTTCTAGCATGATATCCCAAATAAATTCTCTTTCTTTGCATAACATGGTAGACTTCTAATACTGCAATATAAAGTTTGTATATGCTTTGATATATGAGAGCAAATTTGCTCTTAGTTTTCTAATTGTAGTTGTTTAACACCAGATATCCTCTTTTTTTAAAAAAAAAAATTCAGTTTCAGTTGGTGTTCGATGGATGATAGGAGTAACAGAAATTAACAAAGGCTCAACTTACGGCCACCAGGGACACAAGGAGAAGCAAAAGTGAAAATCTCCAGAGACTGCTTCATACCCAAAGGGAACAAGCTTGTGAACTACTGTGAACAGTCTTCAGTCATGAAGACCAGGAATCTGTTAGAGAAAGCTGATGCCTCCACTGAAGTTACATCTCTTCATCTCTTCTCTATCCATCTCCTCCAATTCTCCAGCTGGCAACAAAAGTCAATATTCCGCAATTTATTTTATTTTATTTTTCTATACTTTTCTTTAATTCAGATTTTCCAGAGAAACCATTCTTTTTTTTTTTAATTAACGAAGAGAAAGTATGCAGACATAGTATTAGGAAGGAAGCGAATGAATGAATATTTTTTTTTCTGAATAAATCTTTAATGGATTAAAATATGAAATAAAATTTACTTTCCTATAAGATGACAACAAAATGAGTATTTTATATAATTAACTAAGAACTATTTTACTTTGTTCTTTTTAGTCTGGTAGCCGATTTCCCAATTGTGACCAACAAGCGGCTTCTGGACAGCCCAGAGACTTGTTATTAACCTTGTATTCCAAATGCATTTTATTTAGTTTCACTTCTAATCTCTTTATTTTTGTGAAAGTAATTGTTTTAACCAATGAGTGATTCTTGAGTAGTACTTTCACTGAACTACTTAGCACTATCCAAATATTTATCCTTTGGCCAGCCTGATAAAAATAGGAAGACTTTCCTCCTAACAGTTGTTTTCAGTTTGCCAAGACACTTTTATTACCAGTTTGTTTTCAATTCACTTCAGAAAGTGAAGTGAAATGCACTTCCCTTTTATTTTGCAATCCCATTTTTTAATTTGCACTTGTTTAATTTCTTTGCAGACTTCGCTACAAGTATTCATTCTAAATCTTTTATTATATTCGGAAAGGTTTAACATTTCCAGTCATATTTACATATCCTAAAAAAAATCTATTTCTTGCATTCTTCTACTGTAAAAAACAATTTTACTTTTTTTTGCTTCTTGTTCTTTAATCATTATGAATATGAGACTGCCTCTTAAATCCCAAGATTTTGATGTACGAATAACTGAAAGAAAAAGCTGTTTGAAAATCCATTCATATAAATATCCAGCACAATGCAGTTATTCATACATCAACATTCTCAAGGAACTCAAAACATTAGTGAGAGAAGTTATTTCTTTAGAAACTTATACACTAAAATTTATTTTCTATATGCACAATATTATCTTTAATACTACTTTCCAAATTGGACAGTAAATTGGCCTGACTTTTCTAGAATCACATTTCAACTTTAAACACAGGTGTTACATTGGCTGTATTCCTAGTATATAAATATTGATCATGAAAATTATATTAAGATATTGACAATATTTATCTCAGCTTGGATAGTACTATGGCCCCTTTAATATATAGATCTGCACTGCTGCTATAATGTCTCCTTGTGGAGTTTATCATAGTCTAATTACCCTAGATCAGTGATGGCTAACCTTTTCCACATTGTCCCAAAAGTGCGCTGGCGTTCGTGTGCCTGCACCCATGTGACTCCTGTCCCCCCTGCACATGTGCATGCAACCCTGTACTGCACGCTCTATGCATGCACACGCAACCCCCTGCATGTTGCATGCCTCTGCCCATGTGTGCACGTCTCCCCATACACATGCGCAGCAGATACCTGACAATTAGCTGTCTGGCAAGTGGTGGGGCTCTTCCGGGCGATCTCTCGCTGGCAGAAGTGGCTCTGCATGCCGCTTCTGGCACATGAGCCAGGGAGGTTTCTACTGGTTCTGTCCACCTCTGTAGAACCAGTAGCTCTGAAGAGCAGCAGACATAGAACCGCTTCTATGTCTGCTGATGTTTTTGCCCACCCGCCCACCTGGGCTCTTTCCTGACTTTTATTTCCTGATTTTTTTCAACTTCAGCTGCTGTGCGAGGCATGCCCGCAGTTAAAAAAGCAGGAAAAAAAGGGCTTTTTCAAAGGCTGCTTCTCGGCACGCAGCTGTCCAGGCACCAGGCTGATGAGGGAAGCACATCGTAAATCAACAAACGAGTAGTTAACCCTGTCGGATCCCACCCCTGACATAAGCCATAGGTTCGCCATTACGGCTCTAGACTGTAATGTAGATTGTTTGATTTAGACCAAATAAACCTGAAAATTATTGCGATTTTCATTTGGAAACAAAAGTTTATAGTTCTGTGGCTTAAGGAACAAACCAACTTTTATACTACAATGGTTTGTTTAGCATTCTAAAATCCATTGCTTGAGGTAGACTATTTTTAGTAGTTAGTGACCCAATGTCCCAACTATTTAAAAATACTCAGTGAACCTTACGCAAAGACCAAATCCAACATAACAGAGCCATCCTCATACTTTTGAAAGAGAAAATTATCAGCAACACAGTAATTTAGCCGGTACATTTGGCAGAATGAGCCTTGTTAGCAGATACCTGGACAGTTGAAATCTTTCGTCAAAACCATTTCATTTTTTTTGAGACATCAATCCTGCTTTTTTCTCTTCTGACAGCTTTGATGATTTATAGCAAACTCCAAGCAACAGATTCTTTGGATTAGCTTGCCTTTTTATTTTAGCCCAGTTGCTTTCAACAGGTCTGTTACCATTAATCCAGTAGACCTGTATGCAGATAAGTTCATTCCCGACATACAAGTAGTCCTCAACTTACAATAGTTCACTTGACCATTTGAACATACAACGGCGCTGAAAAAAAAAAGACTTATAGCTCTTTTTTACACTTACGACCACTGCAGCTTCTCTGTGGCTATGGTATCAAAATGTTTGGCAATTGACTCATATTTATGATGGTTGCAGTGTCCCAGGGTCATGGGATCACTTTTGCAATCCTCTGAAGAGCAGTCAGTGAGGAAGCTAGATTCACTAAACAGCTGTAGTACTAACTTAACTAATGATTCATTTAACTGGCAAGAAAGGTCATAAAACTCAACAGTTGTCTCTCTTAGCAAAAGAAATTTTACGTTCACCTCTAGTCGTAAGGACTACTTGTAGTATGGAGGCATTTAAGATAATGTATTAAAATTCCCTTGTTCGGTTTCCGTTTTCCACTATGCTAAACTAGAGATTTCCAAAACACTTCACTTTACTGCTGCACTTAATCCATTACTTACCAAATCTATTTATTACTCTAATGGACTTATGATTCCCCAATCTTTTATTTACCACTTTTCAAAGTTTACTTGAAGAACGAATCTCTTCTTGAACTTTTGTTTTCAATGGATAATATTGATCAGAATACCAACTGGATCTTCCTGCCCAGTGTTGTTTTTGATGTATTTCTTGGAAACAAAATTTATTCCATGTACAGCAGGATTACTTTATTTTACAAGGCTGCCTTGTTCCTGCTTAGTTTCTTTCAAGTTCCAGAACCAAATGAAATGCAAAATTAAATATTTAGTGCTTCATTGAACGAGCATTTTTTCTCAGTCTAAAAAAACCAAAGTGACCCTAGATGCCATGTCACCGTAATATACAAATGCCAAACAAGATTATATCCCACTGTAAACCTCAACTAACTTATGTGTTTTAATGGGACAAATTGTTCTGGATTGGAGGATTCTGTTACGAATACCTCCATATAGCTTAATTGTTGCTAAAATAGCAGTATACTTAGATATGAAGTAAATGTGTTTTTCAACACATCATTAACAAAATAGAAGGGTGCTGAGAAATCAGAGCTAAATATAAGCATACGATATTAAGAGTGATGCACGCGTCTTTAAAAGAACTGTAAATATGGATATTGTACAGGAAGAAGCCACATCTGATTTAAACAAGTATAGGAGTTAAAAAGCAAAGATTAAAATTTAGTGATTAAGTCTGTGTGAGAGAACCATGAACATTAACTTTAAGCCCTTATAACGGTAGCCAAATGTGCATAAATTGAATCACTCTTTCTTTGCTAGACTTTTGCTTTGATAATCATATGCAACTTAGCTAGTCTTAGCTGATAACTACCTTTCTCTATGAGATGAATTTGGTACTTGGTATTTGGTCAAGGAAATGAACCCCTGAATTGTTTAAAGGAATTATTTATAGAAGCTTCATTTCACTTGCAACTCTGAATTTTGATTTGGGGAGAAAGAGCTAGCGTAGTAGTAGTGAGTTAAACCCACAGCCCAATATGTCGCTGAAGACTATAACTGCAGGTGAGCAACATAACTGATTCCTACATCAGTTACATCTGAAGAGCTGGATTCACATTTCAGTAGCTCTTTAGTGGCCAGACATAAGCATAACTGTGAGCAAGAGTAAAGGTGTTACTTCACCCAAATTATTAAAAGCCTATCCAAACTATAGCTCAAATAGCTACACCGTTTGAAACACAAGGGCAACCCTCACATAAGACTCCCGAGGATGATAAAGCCATTTTAAGTATCAGCTTCAAACAAAATAGGAAACAAAAGACTTCCTAAAATAAACCATTTATTGAGAAAAAGCTTTTAAATTTATTCTTCAATCAACGTCCGCATAACAAATCAAGCTGGCCAATAAAAAACAAAAACAAAAACAGAAAAGTAGAAGTTCACAGTCAGTGCACTCAACAAACAGGAGATTAAAAATAAAGTTCAGACTGCCTGATATAACACTAACTTTGTTTTTGAACCTAAAAGCTCAAAAATCCTACATATTAACATTACAGTTCTCAGTCATCTGAGAAACAGAGAAAGGACAAAAATAAGTTCATGGTCCATTATACAGTAGTAATGGCACTTTCACTGAAACATGCAGCTTCTTTAAACTCAGGGGGGCTGCCAAGGGAACAACAGGTGCCAAGGGAAACAAACAGCAGCAGCAGTAAAAGTGACGCCTGTCACTTGTGCAGTCTTCAGTCATGTTAGGCCTTGAGTCATATCCTGTGCCTTAACACAGTCCAAATGTAAATATTACATATAGTAGTGATTCAAAAATACTTCACCCGAGTACAGGCAACCATGTGCATAGCTTCATTCTTCATCTGTGCACACCTGGTTGGTAACAAGGAGAGAGCAGATAATTAACCCAAACTGAGCTTTTCTTTTAAAGGTATGCTTCTCCTTCCCTGACAGGGACTCCTCAGATGTAACATCTTACACTGCAGTTCAACTAAGATCTACGGTAATTACTATGTAGACAAAATTATATCATTCTTTTCAAGAGAAGTGATGTGATCCTCCAAAGTGTGAAAACCGCCTGAAGGATGCCATTGGATAGTGTTTCCCAAACTTGGCCATTTCTAGGTGTAAGGATTTCAACTCTCAGAATTCCACTGCCAGCATGGGCACCGATAAGGAAACGGGCAGTTGAAGTCAACAGGTATTGAAGTTGCCACGGTTGGATACCCCTGGACTAAGGCAAATGTTGCACTTTGGAATTATGCTGATCTGGATTTCAGCCAATGCCCTTCACACCCTCATCCATCCACCTCCAGCATCTTATGGCCGCTGAGCGTATCTGGTTAGGGATAGGATAATTTTGCTTGAAAGATGCTTAGCCCAGCAGCAAAACAGTAGGCTCTCCCAAATGTACCCCTACCTCCATTTTGTGCCTTGTGCCTTGTCCCAATGGCACACAAAGCCTAATCATTTGGAAGTGGCCAATAGGAGAAAGCTCTGCAAATGAAAGCAATGTCTTTATCTCCCAGTTAGCTAGGGGTTCTGTACTACTGAATTATTGATGCTGTTTCAATTCTTCTGGTGACTCTAAAAGAAGAAAAACGTGTAGTAATTGCTTATGAAGACTAGAACTCAAATCCACAAGCTTTTTAAAATTTAAACAGTTACTCTTGTGTAATAAGACCCTGATAGTTACTAATAAGAATAGTCACGCTTAACTAACCTTGACAAACGAATGATCGAGGAGCTGGCTAGCTGTCCATCTCATCTTTGGATCACTTTCCAGGCAATGAGAAAGGAAACCTTTTCCTTCTGGACTTATCCTTTCAGGAATCGGAGGCTTATGACCCATCCCTACCCTGTACATGATCTGAAAGTTGTGTTCGAATTCATGCCAGGGTCTCTATAACAAAGCAGGAATATCTAGGTTAAGAAACTGAATTTTCTCACGAACTAGACAATGTATACATTGCGTTAGTTGGTGCATTTCTTCTTTGATAACAATAAGCTCTGATAAGCATAACAAATAACCCTGAGTATAAAGCTCCACAAATATGCACATGGGGTGGGTGCCAATTCCAATCAGTGGGCAACCTTTAGCTATTTCTCTATTCCATTAATATATTTAAGAAGCAAGCAACGCATCAATGTTCCCGAGCAATTCTTTACACCAATGGGGCTTTGTTTATAAGGTTGGCTTATCTGAAATCTGGAAACTAATTTACTCCCTATATGGAGATAGCAGAAGTCTTTGCAGACTTCCTGAGGTCTTTATGCTCAACAAGATAATTGAACTAAATGAAGTTGCGAGGACAAGATATATTCATACTTCAGCTTTAATAAATAGGTTATACACAGTTGAATCAGTTCTTTCTATTAAGCGGAGGAGAGTACAGTCAGCATTTCAGTCAAAATTAATTCTTCTCTTGCCAGGGGCTTTTAACCGAGCAAAGTTCAAGTGACTTAATTCCCCAGAAATCCAATAATGGCATGCTTTAGAATTTAGATCATTCTCAGTAACTAAACTGATTGAATGTCATATAGGAGACTTACCTTCCCTGTGACCATTTCGATCACAACACATCCAAGGCTCCAGATGTCTGCTGCTCGCCCGTGGCCTTCTCCTTTCGCTCTGGTAATCACTTCAGGAGCCATGTATGCTTTGAAAAAACACAAAGGGTCACATTAGTTTATGCAACAAAAGGAACAGGAGGTTTCTCAACAAAAGGATTTGTCCCAGAAACCAAAGCCAAGATCAATCGTAATCTACCTATATGTGCTGCCAAGTCACTAAGTACAAAGTACAACTTTCACTTATTCTACGCGAACTTAACATAGACATTGTTGCTGACTTTAGAACAGTGCTGTCAAAGTCACGGCCGGTGGACCAGATGCGTCACATGCTGGCCATGCCCACACCCGGTTTAGAGAAGGGGGGGGGGAAGTCCCGATACGTCACGTGACACGGCCGTGACGACGTGAGTTTGAGACCCCTGCTTTAGAAGCATTTTCACCAATCTTATTATGCCTTTCCAAGATACCTTCTCTTGGAAGCTACAGGTGTCCCACTCACTCCAATGCAAGGGAAATATCTTCGCACAATTATAAGGTCTCTAGTACAAAGCTAGAAGTTAATATCGTAAAGCCTTAGTAGTGCACGGCTACTTGGATCATAATGCAGAAAAGCAGTTTTGGAGTGTGATGTGGATATGGTTCACTATCCAAGTCAGGGCTTTCTTTGACAATCCCTTCTCTCTCCCCCCCCCCCCCCCATGCACAGCGATCATGTGGTCCCAGGAAAATGCACATTTGATCTGAACCCTCAACAAGGTGCAAAACGGCCATCATACCCAATTACCATCTCCATAACGCATAAGCCTATTTTTCTAACGCTGCACAGCTTTAGTGAGAGCAAGGAAAAGTTGGGGGTTTAAGAATTGGCTTGCAGGTGGCACCAAGTGGGTGCATATCTCTTCCAAAACATCTTTTCTGTTCTGCATCCAAACAGTTGCACATCCCTATAAAATCTCTTTGCGTAACAGCAAAGATAATAACAACAATGGGTAATACTGATGAGCACTTTACTGATATGCAGTTTGGACAATCCTGGACATGCAATCTGAAGATTTTGGGTTTTTTTGATTTAGATTTACAGCTGTGTAATGACATGGATATTCCAGAAGGTGGCAGGATTTAAGCAATGTGGATCAATCTTGAAAACCTAAACAGTAGCTAAGCCAGTACTTGGAATGGAGGATGGATACTTGTTGTAGATCAGACCTTAACATTCTCCTAATAAAATCAGGCACGAAGTCAACAGTATAACTAGAGAATCTCAATGGCTGTTATATACAGAGATTTCATTGTATGTTCTTCCTTACCAGCAGTTCCCAGGGTACTATTCACCTCTCCAGGCATTGTCTGCATATTATTCTTTAATTTTACCGAGCAGCCAAAATCTCCCAGCTTTATCAATCCTGATGATGTAAGGAATATGTTTGCTCCTAAAAGTCAAAATGAATGAACGAATGAAATGAATGAGCAAGATTTCATTGTTAAACATTACAGAAGATTTTAGTTCCCAGTTGCTTCAGAACAATCAGGCTCAACTATAAACGCACATGCATTATAAATATCTGGACGGTTAACACAAATAGTCCTCAACTTACAACAGTTTGTTTAGTAACCCTTTGAAGTTACAATGGCACTGAAAAAAGTGACTTATGACCATTTTTCACTTATGGATAGTTGAAGCATCCATAGGGGTGGGATCCATCAGGGGTGGGATTCAAATATTTTTACCACCAGTTCAGTGGGCGTAGCTTGGTAGGCGGGCTTTGCACGCATGCCAAATGTGCATTTTGTGCAGCCGCAGAGGCGTTCTAACTCACCCCCATCAAGCCTACACAATCTCAGTCGCTACAGCAGCTGCCGCATGGCGCTCTTCTGTGCCGCACAAAGCAGCTGTGCTTCAAATTCAGAGGACAAAGGTGAGTAGGAGAGCCCAGGCGGGCGGGCGGGCGGGTAGGCCCAACAGCAGAGCAGTGGAGAGAATTGTTTCAGTCTCTGCTGCTCATTGCTGTTACCGGCTCTTCAGAACAGGGCCGAATCGGTAGAATGCCACCACTGATCCCCATGGTCACATGACCAAAATTCAGACACTTGGCAACTGACTCACATTTATGACGGTTGCCATGTCCCAGGGTCATGTGATCCAACCTTCTGACAAGCAGAGTCAGGACAGAAATCAGTTTCACTTAACAACCATTTTATTTATTTAACAACTGCAATGATTGCAGGAACAACTGCAAGAAAATGGGGCAAAGCTCACTTAACAAATTTCTCACTTAGCAACATACATTTCGGGCACAACTGTGATCGTAAGTTGAGGACCTACCTGTATTCTTCCTTACAAATTCATACATACATACGTGCATACATACATACATACATATATTTGTTTTTGTAGATTTTCACGGGTACAGGTATGTTGGTCTAGGTGTGTTCGGGTCTTTTCCCATGTAAGATTGAGAGTATCTTGGCGACGTTTCGACGAGGTCCCACTCACCATCCTCAGGCTGGTGCTTTCGGCTTCGTGCCAGTGCAAGCTTATGGGATCCCCTATGGGATCACCACTATCACCCATCATTGCAAACCTATTCATGAAAGAATTCGAATCCAGAGCCCTAGCCAATGCCACCCACAAACCCAAACTATGGTTAAGATACATCGATGACACATTTGTTATTTGGCCCCGTGGTAAAGAAAACCTAAACAATTTCCTAACACACCTAAACAGCACACACCCCAAAATCAAATTCACCATGGAAACGGAAACAAACAAACAACTACCATTCCTAGATGTACTAATCTACAAAAAAAACAGATGGCACACTAGGACACACCATATACCAGAAGAAAACACACACCAACCGCTACCTCAACGCCCAATCCCACCACCACCCAGCACAGATAAACTCCGTGGCCAAAACACTAATTGCCAGAACCAAACGCCTGGCAGACAAGACACACATAAAGACTGAACTATGCACCCTGACTAAAGTACTGACAGCCAACGGGTTCCACAAAAGCAAAATCACAGGCCTGATCCACAAAAACACACTGAGACATAATGGAGACCTAGAAGATGAACAGACCTATGGAACAGCTGTCCTGCCCTACATAAGAGGTACTACAGACAAAATCAGTAAGATACTACACAGGCATCACATCAAGACCGCCTTCAAAAGAGACAGAAAAATAGCAGTCATCCTAAGAAACCCCAAAGATAAAATTGACCTGGAAAACCAAGGCATATATGAAGTCCCCTGTGCATCATGCCCTGCCACATACATTGGACAGATCAATAGAAGAATAAGTACCCGCCTAGATGAACACAAAATGCAGTAAAAAAGCTGGAATACACTTCCTCACTAGTCCAACACATGAAAGCCACAGGTCATAGCATCAACTTCATTGGCACCAAAACCCTAGCCACTATAGAAAACCCCAGCCACAGAATTATCAGAGAAGCCATAGAGATTGAAAAAAGACCTGAAAGCATAAATAGAAGAGATGACTCCACCAGATTGTCAATTATCTGGAAGCCTGCACTCTCAAATGAAAAAATCTCCACACCACCAGCCAGGCAAACACCTGGGCACCAACAGATCCCCCCTGATACCTCCAGCTCAAACACACCCCAACCAGGCACCCAGATGAAACCTAGCTTCCTAATAAATGATAGCCATCCATTTACTCGGAGCCAAGCTGCACTAAAAGCCTCCAATACAGGAAACACAATGTTGCCAGCCAATCAAGACAAAAAAAGCTGCAAAACAGAGAGAAGATATTAGAAACACCAATCAAGCAGAACACAGCAAACTCCAAGACCAATAAACACAGACCAAGACTCCCAACCAATCAGGATGAAAAAAAAAAAAACCATTCTGGCATCGCGTAGGCTAGCACCAAATTTAAAACAGAAACGGCTGTGAAAGTCTGATTCACAGACGAACACAATACAGAAGCTTGATGATGGCAGATGAGATTCTGCTGAAATGTTGCTACAACTTTAAAAGCACAACTACAATGACATGGGAAAATACCCGAACAAAGCTGAATACCATACATGTAAGTACCCGCGAAAACTTACCACATACACACACATACACATATATATATTGCATGCAACCAAGGCTGGGGGGAATCACACGTTTCCTTTGATTCATTTATCTGAATCTTATTTCTGACTCAGCATTCCTGCATTCTCCAAATAAAAGATGGGGACTGTCATTTTATATCCCTTTCATGATCTCTAAGCACAAGGAAGAGTCAGGAAGAAAAACTCTCATTTGTTTGCATAATTCCTGGTCCTACAAGACTGATAGCAGTTGCTCCTATTTTTCTACTCCAGCTGAAGCTCTGAAAGGGAGGAAGAGCATCCATCTGCAGGATGCTTCCTAGGTGCATTGCTATGGAAACTGAAAATGGTCCTCAAGAGAAGGAGAAGCAGACACTGAGCAGGTCTATCTCACTGCTTCAGCTAATGGTGAAAAACAATCATGAACATCATGTAGCTAAGCATAACTGCCTGCTGCTTCTATTCCCTAAACAATCCCTTAAATGTCAATGTGTAAGATTTTCTTTTGTGTATGCTGATGTAATTATTGTTGTAGTATATCCCCATTTGTGTCTTGATAAGTGGTTTCATTTATCAGCAAAGCACAGTCGTAGTCCAAAGGCACCCTTCAGATTCAGTGGGAAGTGTCAAAATTTTTCTGTTATTTCCTAATAACCTTCTGTTATCTTCATCTATAAATATCGATCACAACTGTCAAAGGCACAATGAGCCATAAATTCTGGCTGGCAAGCAAGCAAATCTCTCTTAAAGCATCCATTTGCAGAGAAGTGGAACTGGGAAAGGCTGAAAATCATACAGCATGTTATTCAAAGCGATTGGTTTCTAAAATGTCTATTACCTACGTTTGGCTTTAAACAAAAGTCTGTTGAGCAGTCCAAAGTAAAAGAGAAATCTAAATAAATCTCTACCTTTAATATCTCGGTGCACTATACCATGTTCGTGCAGCACATTGATGGCAGTTGTGATCTGCTTTGTGTAGAGTCTAATAACATGCTCCTGGAGGCCCAGCCTTGACACTTCTTCCAGAGTCCCCTCGTCACAATACTCCATAAAGATGTACATTTCTTCCTGTAATTGAGGTGCAAAGAGGTTTATTTGGATGTCCTCACTAGGTAGAAAGCAGCTCCAGTAAGCTCTGAATGTGAAATATGAGAGCTACTTTGGTGTTGTGGTTAAAGACACTGGACTAGAAGCCAGGTGACCAGGAGTTCTCCCTTAGACATAGAAGCTTCCCAGTTGCTCACTTGCAAGCCTAGACAAGGAAAAACTGCTCTGCCAATACGTACTTCGCAGGTTACACTCCATAACCTTCAATAAAGAAGGCTTCATCTTGCAATGGACTGATTATATTAGAGCAGGGGTGGGCAACTATGGCCCTTTTATGTATTATGGACTTCAACTCCCAGAATTCCTGAGCAAGCCATGCTAGCTCAGGAATTTTGGGAGTTGAAGTCCACAAGTCATAAAGGGGCCATAGTTGCCCACCTCTGTATTAGAGCATGTCAAACCCAAGGCCCGCTGGCCAGATCTGGCCCAAGGGGCAGTCTTGGAAAAGGGACCGGCCCACGTCGCTTGGGCCCAGTCTACCCAATGCAAAGAGGAAACATCGGGCCAGCATGGCTTTACCCAGCGCAAATAGGAAACACGCCAGCAGTTTGGGGAGTGGCGTAAACCTGGCCACGTCCAACCACTTGGTCACGGCCCCCCAGCCCACCCCCCAAGGTCAACCACAGTCCCGATACCTCCCTCAATGAAATTGAGTTTGACACTCCTGTATTAGCGTGTGTGACAGAGTCCAAATGCATTTTTAACTAACAGTCCAATGTCTATACAGTAGCATATAGTAGGAAAGAGAACAAATCTTTGCTGTGATGGACAACAAACATGTTTGCAGCAAATTACTTATATAATGTCTAACTATAGGTAGGATATTACATGCTTTTTAGTGCTGTACGTTGTTCTTTCTCAAATTAGCAGCCTTCCCCCCAAACAAAATTCAGTCAAAGGTAGAAAAGAGAATCAAGTCTATTTCATCAGCTATCCTAAGAAAAGAGGCCTCTCTTCTACTTGAAACAAAGCTAATTTTTCAGGCTACGCAAGTTCTTTTTTATATTTGATATAATTAAAAGAGGGAACAATGTCTAAGGTATTTTTTTTTCTTTTTCCACCTCGTCTCCTTTTTCTTGAACATAATTTTATTGTACTATTAAAGACCACTAGCAGCCGCCAAGTATTTTATTGCACCTTATGAATTGATATTCATAATAAGGTAGATTTTCTCTGTATCACAAACTGCAAAACAATTACAATAAAAACTAAAAAAATTAAAAGAAAAATATAATAGAAAGTGCAGAAAAGATCATTATTTTTCTTTATTATAAGAATATAATAAAGAAAAAAGAGCAATACATAAAGAAATGACTTCTCCCTTCACCACTAGCAAAAACAATTTTAGTAATTTGTCATCTTCTCTTAAAATACAATAAACAATATCCCATCTTTTTATCTAAAACTTCATCATTTCAGTCCTGAACAGCTAAAATTCATTAAGGGTTACAAGAGATGACGCTACATCTATTCAACCTTGATCGAATTTATCAACTTTATATTCTTTCCTTTTACTTTTAACAATCTTGATTTTTAATCTCTTCAAATGTCCTAGAATTTGATTTGTTTTCAATTTTTTTTTGTCCCTTCACATCACAATTTGTTTTCAAAGCTTAAACAAGTCTCTTTTGTAAATACAATATAGGAAAATAATCCAAATCACTTCTTTGCTTTTTGTATTTCTCTTTTAATTAAACATTAGCTGGTTTCATTTGTATATCGATGCAGCATCTTTTTACATATATTCTTATATAGCCCATCATTTAAAAATCCATTTTCACATTAATTTCAGGTTAGCTGACTGCCGCTTCAACATGATGGCTACTGTCCTGCTTTTAATCTCAAATACCCTCAAAACATAAGATTCCATGGTAATTCAATGTTTATTCATGATCAAAGAGATAATAACAGTCAAAGCATGCAAACAAACAACAAAGTCTCTGAAAGAGGCTTGCCTGAAGCTTTTTAACAGCAGTGTGCAGAAGAACAGTCCAAAATCAGTCCAAGATTTGAAAAGCCAGGTTAGGATTGTCAGCCAGTCCAGAGCACAGAATTTTACAAGCAGAATCCAGCCAAATTGCCATGCAAGACCCAGAGATCAGTGGTTTGTTTCCAGGACAGGAACATGGGTCAGGGCTGCCTCTTAAATCAGACTGCAGGTACTTGAAGATTTTTACTCCCTTGCTTGACAAGAAGCCTCATAGAATGTTTTTACTCTACTCTCCTATCTTCACGAGGTGCAAGGGATGGAAGGCCTTATACATTATCCTCATTTGACTGCTCCAGCTATCCAGGTGGTGCTTTTTTGTCAATCAGCCTCATGTAATTCCTGGCCTGGTGTCTCCTGAATCCCATTCCATGGATTCATTTGGAAGAGCTTTTTCAGATTCACAATCTTGAGTCGTGGGCTATGGTAGCTATTCCCTCATCTCCTTGAAACCTGCCAGAGACAGTCTTGTGGATTCCTCCCAATAAACAACTGTCTGGAGAATTTAGGAGCAATTTCAAGCTCGCTCCTGTCCAAAGAAGGATTACAAAGAGTCGGTCTATTTGCCGGCTCTTCATTCCACTGTGGTTGTAGGCTACATTTTTATCAAAGGAATCTTCATTTTGCCATTTCTTCCCTCGAAGTCCCAGTGCAAAAACCAATTATAGAAAGGTGAAACAGAATCCTTTTTTGTCTTAATTGTTCTCCAGTTTTAATTGCCAATCATTTCAATTTCTAATAATTTTGAAAGGAAGAAAAGTAACATGAATATATAAACTACCTCTGGATTTTCCCTCTCTTCAATTAGTAATACCTTTTGGAATAGAGAAATTATAATAGATGAAGGTTAAGAGATCAACCCTTATGAATCCTTTAACTAAATCCACTGCTTTTGTTGGGAAATTGGATCATGCTTCTCACACGTTCAATTTGCTCCCTAAATCACCAAATGTAATCCTGGAACAATCTACAGATACTTACTTCCACAAACAAAATGAAACACAGATTGAGTACATAGCTTAAAAACACAAAGCAAGACCAACATTCCCATATACTCTTATTAACAAAATCAATTTTAATTTATACTCTATACTGACTGCAAAAGTCAGTGACCACCGTCTCCTTACCCTGTGAAGTTCTACACCAAAGTAGCGGACCAGATTAGGATGCTTAATGCCTTCAAAAATTTTCAGTTCATCTGCAGTTTCTTTGATCGTTTTGTGATCGTTGGGTTGAAATCTTATCTGCAAAAAGACATTCTGTTTCATGAGTGTTGCAAACCAAGCTAACAGGAAAAATGACTAGAAAAAAGCAATACTGAAACCACACCCAGATCTGTTTATTCTATCACACTGAATGAGTAAGAGCAATCACAGATCTGTACAGATAATATAGAGGTCTCTTCACTTCTGTTCTATTCTTAATATACTATATCTAGGGCAAGAAACAAAAGTTTAAAATCTGTCAAAAATATAATCAAACACGGGCTACAGAGAAAAGAATGGCAGAATATTTACCAATCAGCAAACGAGCTAAGGGTCCATATTTCTTCATACAACAAGTTATTAAATAATGCTACTAGAACTAATGAGAAGGTCCTATCTTGTCATTTCCCCCCATGCTTTCATTCTATGTTGAATAGGATGGGAAGCCTCTCCTTCTGATACTAAAAAGTAGATATGTTGGTAGGAAAAACGCATTCTCTCACAGTAAATGACTTAGTTTAAAAAGCTGTCATTTGAATAATTAAATAAATTGTACAAACAAAAAATATAAACATATAAAATTGTTTTTACAAGCACACTGCTTACTTCTTTCATTGCCATCAATTCACCAGTGTCCACGCTGATACAGGTATAAACTTTCCCATATTGGCCTTCTCCTGCAGAATTGCAATTTAAAAAAAAAAGATCTAAGCACTCTGAAAATATTTTTAATGTCTTCTCAGTATAAGTCATATAACTGACTTCTGCAGAATATTTACACAAATATATGTGTGGATTCTTTTGTTAGGTGCCTTGAATGCTCTAGGAATGAATAATCTAACTAATGCACAAGCATTTAAACAGAAAGTGTTTTAAATACACACATACACAGACGAGAATATGCCGTTATGAAAAGTGCATATTAACACCATCACCTAGCTCCTGACTTATTTCATCTAATCCCAAAGCTAATGATTTCTATCTAAAATGTATGTCATTTTACCCTAAGTACCTCTCTTTACACAGTTGCATTACAGGGCAGATTTTACTTCTAAATCACCTACAGTAACTTACAGAATATTTTGGACTTAGCATGCTTTAATCCATCATGGCTTTTAAACAAACCAGCAATTATAAAGACACAGGTTGACAAAAGCAAAGTCCTTGAGCCGGGTAAAAATAAAACATGCAGGAAGACACATGGATGTCATTTCTGGGTTAAAAGCATAAATGTAACTCTCTCCATTAACTGAAATATCAAACGATAGTTCCCTAGAAACCTACCAATTTTGTTTCCTCTTTGCCACTTAAAAGTGACCTTTCTTAAGCCTACATGCATAACATTATCACAGGATTTGGGCGTGTCACAAACTTGGCCAATGATGTTTTTCCGTCTCATTTCCCGATACCTCTTTTCTTCAAACAGCTGGACAGATTTTTGAACTGCTTCCATGGGTCCCTGTCTGGAAGCAGTGTCTAGAAACGAACAGAACAGGCAAAAGCATTGATCATGAATGAACTGCACTTATTTACCGACACCATTAAAGCAGTATGAAAACTATTAGAGAGGCAAGACTAATGAATGGTCTAAATATTCTAAAGGTTTAGAATAAAAATGACAGTCTTTTAGACTTTTATTTTTATGAAGGGAATATTTATTTACAAGATAATTGCTTCTCATTCCTCCCTCTCCTCCCTCCCCCATGATTCAAATTCATATATATACATTCATCTGTAAAAATTGGGCATGCAGCCATGGTTCCTAGATTACTTTCACCCCCACTTAGCAGCACAGAAGCAGTTTGATTTACTACGTCATCTTCATCATAATTGGAAGAGCAATAGCACTTAGACTTATGTACCGCTTCACAGTGCTCTACAACCCTCTCTAAGTGATTTACAGAGTCAGCCTATTGCTCCCAACAATCTGGGTCCTACCGACCTCGGAAGGATGTAAGGCTGAGTCAACCTTGAGCCTGGTGAAATTCGAACTGCCAAATTGCAGCAGCCAGCAGAAGTAGCCTGCAATACTGTATTCTAACCACTGCAGCTCTGGAAGGGAACTTGGTATAATCCACTGCTTAAGCAGGAGACCTTATATTATTTCAGACAAATGGCTGTCTCTTCTTAAAAGCATCCAGTGATTGTTGCCTTTGTTCCACTGGTTGATGCTCTCACTGTTAGAAAGTTTCGCCTTAATTCCAGGTTGCTTCTCTCCTTGATTAGTTTTCATCCATTTTTTCTTTTCCTGCCTTCTGATGCTTTGAAAAATAAGTCAACCCCATCTTCTTTGTGGCAGCCCCTTAAATATTGGAACCTAGCTATCAGACTATCCCTAGTCCTTCTTTTCATTAGACTAGCCATACCTAATTCCTACAACTGTTCTTCTTTGCCATGGATTGCATCTGGGTGTTTTTATATCTCTGCAAGTTTGTGTCTATGTCTGCACTGGGAAACACAGGTAGGTTGCATAATCCCACTTTAAGCACAACCAAGATTGTCTGGTGATTGTGCCTCCTATATGCATTCAGGGACTATTTTTCCCCACACCAGACTACAATCTAACACACCGGTCCAATGCAGGATGGTTGATTCAACTTCCTAATCCAGGTAGGTGATTGGATGGGTAAGTGAGTGAGTAAAGTCATCCGGCCATTTTATGCTTAAGGAGTGATTCTCTCTGTTCCTAGTCCTTCACCTTAACTACTATACCACACCTGTTTCCAAATTATGTGGATATATTTGTACTGAACAAAGGTGACAAGCTCCATGGGCCGTTACTAGCAAGAAGAATGTAGGAACTGACACTTATTTAATCCACCTTTTATATCCCATACAAAAGGGACAGGGCCACCCGGATGATTTTGAACTTGTATCTGTCATCACTGGCCATATTACTATTGTTATTATCTGAGGGCAAAAGGCTTCCTAGTTTCTACTGAAACTATCTAGAATATGGATAAATATAAGGATATGCTTGAAGGGGGAAATAAAAGAACAAGCTTGATTTGTTTAGGAACCAAAAATATGATTACAGTTGGATGCAACTGTACAAAAAATAATCTTTGAGAGAAATACTAAATTATAACTACTATGAAAGGGCAGTTTGAAATACATTGCTTGCCAAAATAACAAACACTTTTTTTTTAACCTTTGGTCTGACTGATAAGCGTCCGAAGCTCCCAACTTTTTCGGGCTGTTCCACTTGTATCCCCTTTTGGATAAGATGGCTCTGTGAAAAAAAGATGCTGTTAAGAAATGTATGGCACACACATACACACGCACAAAGAGCCAAGAACAGATTTCTTACCCTTTGATCAGCAGCTTTTAAGAATTCCTGTTTGTATGAAGATGAGATGAAAAGCTATTGTGAGTGTATGAACAGGGCTCCCTAACAAGAGACACTATTCACATATCAAGCACTTACAGTTATGATAAACATTGGGCCCCTCATCTCCTATTCTTTATCCTAGAGTCAGAGGTGGGGAACTGTGGCTCTTTTGTGACTTGTGGACTTCAACTCCCAGAATTCCTGAGCCAGCCATGCTCAGTCCACAAGTCATAAAAGGGCCATAGTTCCCCACCTCTATTCTAAAGACAGTAGCTAGATGTGAAGTCAAGAAATAAGCATCCCTACTCCTACATACTACAACCAATTCCTCCCCCCCCCCTGAAAAAATAACTTCTCAAGGATCAGCAGATCCTCAGTTATAGACTGCAGACTGCATCACGTCCTGAGGATGGAGGGCAGTTATTTGAAATTTATAGTGGAAGCATGCTACAGCTCAAACAGGGCATTTCTGACTCCATGGCAATAGTTTAAAATGAATACTCTGGAAAAAAAAATGGAAACATTGAAGGTTATGTAAAAATAGACCTGTGCAGAAGAAAACAGTGAAGTGAAGAAGTAGAATTTCTATTCAAAAAGGAAAGTGAACAGCAAAGTAACTGAAATAAATGAAGCCCATTCTCTTCACTAAGTGTAATAGAGTGGACCTTGGAAATGTTGTATTCAATGGAGCACATTAAATAAGAAAAAGCCATAAAGACCAGCGAAGGTTACCTTAAATATAAGAAGTACTCTTGTTCTTTGTATAAGAAATGGAGTTTGAATGTTTATGTCCTGACTAAAGAATATGGGTAGTCCTTGACTTACAACCACATTTGAGCCCAAATTTCTGTTGCTAAGCAAGACATTCGTTTCTCCCCATTTTACAACTTTTCTTGCCACACTTGTTAAATGAATCACTGCAGTTGTTAAGTTAGGAACACAGTTGTTGTTAAGTGAATCTATTGACTTTGGTTGACACAAGGTCACAAAAGGTGATCCCATGACCCCAGGACACTGCAACCAGCATAAATATGAATAGCTTGCTCTTGGAAGTTGTGGGAGCACCATCACTTGAGACTTTCAAGAAGAGATTGGACTGCCATTTGTCAGAAATGGTGTAGGGTCTCCCACTTGGGCGGGGGTTGGACTAGATGACCTACAAGGTCCCTTCCAATTCTGGTTATCTGTTATCTGAATCAGTTGTCAAGCAGCCAAATTTTGTTCATGAGACCACAGCAACAGAAATAGCACTTATATACCACTTCATAGTGCTTTTAGAGCCCTCTCTAAGGGGTTTTCTGAGTCAGCATATTGCCCCCCAACAATCTGGGTCCTCCGGAAGGATGGAAGGCTGAGTCAACCTCGAGCTGGTGAGGGACACTGCAACAGTCGTTCAGTGTGTAAATTGTTCATAGCTCACTTTTTTCAGTGCCACTGTAACTTTGACCTGTCATTAAACAAAGTGTTGTAAGTGGAGGACTATCTGTATTCAAGCTAAAACCCGAAGGGCATCTTAACAAAGAAGCTGCTTTCTTTAAATTAAAAACTGCTGAAAGGAAACGAATGCTAATTTTTCCAACAAGAAACTACTTCAAGTACTTTCACTACTTCACTTCCAGGAAAAAAAAAATGTCTACTATCTCTGCCTGGGCCAGGAGCTCATCTGCTTACTTAAAAATCTGAGAGAGCAGCCCTAAAGGAAGCAAAATAGATTTTAAAAACCAATTTGGTGATATGTGGTAAACTATGGACCTTTACCCAATGTTAAAAATGCCTTTATTTATTTATTTGAAGCTATTTGGAGCCTCTGTGGCGCTGTGGTTAGAGTGCAATACTGCAAGCTACTTCTGCTGCAGCCGGTTGCCTACAATTTGGCAGTTCAAATCCCACTAGGCTCAAGGTTGACTTAGCCTTCCATCCTTCCGAGGTGGGTAAAATGAGGACCCAGATTGTTGGGGGCAATATGTTGATTCTGTAAACCAGTTAGAGGGCTGTAAAGCACTGTAAAATGGTATATAAGTCTAAATGCTATTGCTATTAGGCTCAATTGGATATTTATAGCTAATGCATCCATAGCCACTAAGAAATTCAAGCAACTGTGCCTAATTATACCATACAGAATTCAAACGGTTCATCAAAACAAACTGTCTTGTTTTGAATAACTGAATCTTGATTTACATAAGAAATAAAATAATTGGTTTACATCTCATGCTTGAATAGTCATACCAAATTACTTGAAGGGTCATACAAAAATACAAGTTATCCAACGACAGGCAATTCTCTAGATTATATTTAAGTCAGATAATTTATTATACATTATAGGTTATCGTTTTCCTATATTTGTATGGTTCCCCCAGAACTGAGCCTTCTAGCTGTACTGGACTATAATTTCTATGATACCTATATAGTACATAAATATGTAGTACATCCATCAGCACAGTAGATGGGAATGTAGTATTTAAAAACAGCTGGAGGCCATGAAGTTATGAAGAGTTAGCACAAAGAAATTTCAGATGAACCAGATTCATATATGCAATTCTGGCAGCCCCAAAAGCATATGAATACTGTTGGTTCATATTAATTCCTTTAAATGAAAACAGGAAATTATTATGTAAGAAATCACATAGGTAAGAAAGGTGAGGGCACACCTTTCAACCTATTTCTCCACTATATTGTACCCAGTTACCCTGTTTTCTGTAAACCTGTGAAAAAGGAAAGCCAAAGATAGTAACCAAGCATCTCTTTTTCTCCCTCTCTGGAGACGATGTAAATATGCCAAGCTTTTAGAAAAGGTGTTAGTATTATTGTCTTCCACTCCAAAAATATGTGTTTGAGCTCTTCCAAATCTGCACCTTATTGGAATTTATGTATGCAGTAAATTGCAGGAAAGGCGCTTTCATTCCTTTAGAGTCCATGACTGCAATTTGCTTTATAAACATGTTTCACCTGTATATTTATGTGCAGAAAGGGAAACGATGCAACAGGTGAAACAAAGGTAGCTTAATGGAGATTCTCAGGCATCCAAGTCGTGGTTGTCTCAAAGGTGCTTTTTCAAGAGACAACTAGACTTCCTGGTTTTTATCTGAAGATGTTTCACTTCTCATCCAAGAAGCTTCTTCAGCTCTGACTGGATGGTGGGGATATGGAAGCTTTTATTCCCCACCATCCAGTCAGAGCTAAGAAGCTTCTTGAATAAGAAGTGAAACATCTTCAATGTCTTCAAAGAAAAACCAGACAGTCCAGTTGCCTCTTAAAAAAGCATCTTTGGGACAAAAGTAACTTCTTTTTACTACTTATTGTCTAAAGAGGATGCTCTTTGAGTGATGGGTTGGTTCCTAGTGAATGCTTTCCTTGGGAATTTTTCTTTAATGTCTCAAAGGTGCTTTCTTTCAAAAGGCAACTGGACTTTCTTCTTTTGCTTGAAGATGTTTTGCTTTTTATCCAAGAAGCTTCTTCAGTTCTGACTGAATGGTGGAGAATTCCTTGCAGTCATGTTGTCTTTTTGAGTCTCATGAGGCAAACAAGAAAGTCCACTGGCTTTTGAAAGAAAACACCTTTGGAACAACCAGGACCTTGACATCTGAGAATCCCCATAGATATTTAATTTAATGTGTTTACCAACAAGTTTGCAGCAGTCTTCTCAACCCCAGCCCACACATATCCCAGAAAGACTATCTCCTAGGGAAACCTATTTAAGACCTTCTTTTCTGCCAGCTCTTCCGCCCTCAAACATATGGATCCTGATTTTATTTGTGCTCAGATAGTTGTTATAGTTGTTGTCATAGCTTGTTGAAGTTTAGGCAACTTCAAATGAAAGTGCCATACAAATAAATTTCAAGACTGGAATTAATTAAAAAAAAGCCATTCTATTTAAAAAAAAAAACCTGACCCTATATTATCAAAATCCCCATAATTATATCAGAGTGAGGATACCAAACTGAAAGTTAAGCAGAAGCTTTGCCAGGATATGATAAATATATTTTAGGGGAAATAGCATTCATATACAATCATCATTAAAATAGCACCTTCTCTTTCTTCTGTGGGACTTGAATGTCGGCTTAGTGATCTAAACTGTAGTTCAGCAGCAATTGAAGCCAGGCGATCATTTTCAGGAACACTGGAGCCTCTGTTTTTTTTAAATGAAACAATAAAAAAAACACAGTTGTTTTATTGATCAGGACTTTTACTCCCCTCATTTCTAAAGTGGCAAAAGAATGAAAATGCAAATAAGAACACAGCTGTGACTGGTTGTGTTAACCAAAGCTATAGTTAAAAAAAACCCAAGCTAAATATGTATAATATATAGCCACTTAACTATATCCATTATTCTTAATAAAGGACCTTTTTTTAAAAAAAAACTTTTTTTTAAACAAATATTGTTTTTAATGTTAAGAGTCAGTGAAACTAAATGCGAAAATAGCCGGCATATACCAATGTAAACCTTAAGCTGCATATATGAGTGATTTTAAAAACCCCAATAATCTCCTAATAAATTAATAACTGAAATCTTTGGCATTACCATAGGCCAGCTTTTTGAAAAGAGTTTTAATTGACAGATACACAAATTGCAGTTTTAGGAAATGGAATGGTAAAGCACTGGTTTCACCACCAGTTTGCAAATGCACTTATATAACATCGTGTATCTGTGGTCCTGGTCATATCTCAAATGTGTTTATATCTATGCATTTGTACTGGCTGTATCATTGGTCTAATTTCATGACTTGAATCACAGGTGGTACTACAGAAATGTAGAAAGGGTAGACAAAAGGAACGGCATGCATTAAAGAGAATGAAATAATTCAAACTGTTTTAAAAATAAAAATAAAACATGCATTATTCAAAAATGTAGTCAAACATGCACTTCGTGGAAATGTCTTTAAGAATTTGACACCCTGAATGGAAACAAGTCAGTCATGGGGAACACACAATGGAATCAAGAGGAACTACTGAGGTCTAAGTGCACACATGGTTTGTATGAGTGGCATGAACAAGCATGAGTCTGCCACACTGGGGAGTGGAGCTACCTGAGGTCATTTGCACTGCTGACGGGTTTTGGCTGAGTTGAGTCACTCCCAACAGGAGTGGGGCGACTGAAAGCAGGGCTGCAATGGTTCCGTACATCACATGGGATATTCCTTGTGCTGCAGTGAGAAGAAAAGCTTCAGGAAAAAAAAGAAAAAGCTCTGCCTCCACTTTAAAATGGATTTTTTTTTAAAAAAAGTAAGATGACTCAAAACAGCAGCCTGGAAACCAAAATCTTGTAAAACATTAAAACTTGGCTTCTAACTCACGGGAAGGATTTCTGAACATGAAGTGCTGAAGGCAAAATTAGAAAGAAAGAAAGAAAGAAAAAAGGTAATGAAGATCATGGACCACTTCAGAAGTCACTTGGGGTTTTAATTTATGGACGTGTATTCAACTAACAAAACATGGTTCTTAGTTGCGTTCAACTAAGTTTCATCAACAACAAAACATGGAAGCCGCCATGCTATAGACGAATCCACGTACATTTATTTTTAAGAAACAGAAGATAATGCGATACCACCAAAGTTTATCTTCTGCATCTCAGTTCCTTGGCAATCTCTTAAAAAGTGGGCATTTTTAGTAAATGTTAGTAAACACCATCAGAAGCAGATTCTCAAGGCCTCATTAAAAATGTAGGCTGGTAGACTGATCTGAGGGACAGCCTCCTTTTCTTGATCACCTCAAGACTGAGCATTCAGAAAGGAAATGTAGCACAGAGCTAGGTTATATGTATAAGAGTAGAAAAAGGAAGACTTGCTTCATTCTGATTGTCTTGCAGGCCACGGAGAAACGAAAAAGGCAATGTAAAGTGTTCTTTAATTTAAAAATCAGCAGAGGGAGAGGAAGAACTAAATTACGCCTCGGCTTGTCATTCAGCAATCGTCAAAGATGCAATTCCACTACAGACAGGCATGCTGCACACACCACACAGAAGAGCAAGTCCTTACCAAGGTTGGACAGAAAGTTGTGTTTTCCCCAGGAGTACAAAGACTGTGCTTCAATGTAGAAGGGGAGGAAGGATAGCTAGAGGATGATATTGCTGGAACTGCTTTAAAAACCTCATTTTTGTTTTCGGTAAGTTAATAAAAACGTGGGACAAGGCTTTACATACCTGAACCCTTCAGGTGTTGGGATGATGAGGTGAGGATTTGGGGGATCACTGTGGCATCTAGGTACTTTCACGGGACGAGGACTATTCCGATTAATAGCTACAAGCAAAAAAAAAGAGAAGAACACTTGTGTGGGAACAGGCAGCATCACATCACACCCCAGATTGTATGCTCGTTGAATTATAATAACTGTCAAAAATGAGAGGATGCACTGGAATTCACTGATTTTGTAACTGTTTTTAAACAGTTCATGGTTTTGTCTTCAAACGTGTCTACCAAACTACTAAAATGAACTTTAATTATCTAATCAGTTCAAAATAAATAGGCTAGTAAACTGAGCAGCAAAACCAGAGTAATTTATGTTGAAGTCATTTGGCATCAGAATTCACAAGAAGCAGGTAAAAGTAAAAAGTTACCTAAGTCATAAGCCAATTCCAACCTTGATGAGTTGGTTAACATGTCTTCAGGGCTACAGAGACATAACCAAGGCAACAACCCAGAAGTGGTTTGCTTACATGGTTACAAGCCCAGACAAAGTGGCCAGCTGTTGCTACCAGCTGTTTAACTTGCCTGTAGGCATAATTTTCACAATTAACCTGGATTGGTTTGAACGACTCACTTTTCAGGCCCATCTTTGATGAACAAATGCATTTTTAATGTCAGAGGTAATCCTCATGGGACTGGCTATTCAGTCATTAAGCAAAGTGGTTGCTAAGTGAAACTGTGACTGTGCTTACAATCTTAATTCATCTTTTCTTTTCCTTTACGGAAATGGAAGGTTTGGTTGCAAAGTTGCCTTTTTAATCACTGTTGTAGCTTTGAACAGTTGTTAAATGAGGTAGTCACTAAACAAGGACTACTTGTAATGGAATAGTTCTTTTCTATAGCCATATAGATGCAGCCGTGCTGTCATGTTTAACATAAGCAACTCATTTCCTTCAGAGAAAGCTACACCCAGTTGAGAAATACATGTTGCAGTTTGCAGATGAGATTCCGCATTTAACCATATAGGCTTGTATCCAATGAAATCAATCAGCAGAATAGTATCAAATTTTTTTCTCCTCGTCAACTATAACAGGAGAATGATGGATAGTTTGCCAGTCTCTTGGAATGTTGTAATAGACAGTCAGTGAACTATATTTTAAGTTGCAAGGTATAAGGTACACAACTCAAAATTAAGGAATCTCAGATAGGACCCTGTGAAAGAAATGCATAGAGATAGCTAAATATCTGGTTTTTGGCACTTGCAATGACAACTGTAAGAAATTACATTGTAGTCTGTTTCTCTTGATTACAAAGGCCTTAGATCCACGTTAAGATGAATAGAAGACTGCAATAATGTGCCCACTGGCGGAAGCCTTTGAAGAGGATCCAAAAACTTCAATCAGTAGAAAAATACAGTGGCAAAGCTATGGGCTACAAGAAGTTATCCAAAACATGCAACTCCATTGTTATCCTCTGGGCCTCTAGTTTCAGAGCTCATTGTAAAAACTGTTCATTACCATTAGAGCTTTGAACAATTTGGGGCCAGGATTCCTAAAATGCCACTCCCTCCCATGTGAAGCTGCCCACTCTTTGACATCATCTGGAAAGACCCAGCTGCATATCCTGATTTCCAAGACTCATTTGACAAGAGGAATGTGCAAGAGGGCCTTCTCAGCTGCTATGCCTGGAATGTCTGTTCTCTGGAAAAGCAATATGGCTCCTTGCCTAATGTCATTCTAATACAATCTCTATTTCGGAAAAAACTCTGCGTCTTTGCTATTTTGTCTTCTCTTTCTTGCTTCTATCTTAAAACATATTACCTGGGGCTTCTCATATTTAAAAATGCTAACGTAATCATTCTTGTAACTGTGATTAAACCAGTGCTTATTTAATTTCCAAATAACTTAGATCCCATCCCATTTTTATAAGCTATTAGCTTCAAAATTCCATAGAAGAGACTACAACTGCTGCCTTACCAAGGTACAAACCTGTAACAGGACTGTGAGGCTTTCCTATAACATGGCCAATGCATTCATTCATCAATGACTGCAAACTCTGGGGGGAAAAACACAGAAAAAAGCCCATTGAAAGTTATACTGCTGTATCTTCAAATCATGAAAAACGAATAGATTGGGAACCCATTACGTTAACTTAATGAAGATTAAGCCATTAATAAGGATAAACTATTAAATCATGTTTTAGTAGGACAATTACTGGTTTCATATATAGTTGGCAATGTTTATCCATTTGAAATGTATGATTAATTAACAGCATACCAAGAAATCATCTTCAGGCAGAGCAGAAATAAAGGCTGGTTCAATGGCTTGAAGAAAATCAAACCCCTGTGTTGCCCACCTGTCCAACAGAAAAAAATTATTTGTTGATGTTTATACCAAAAATTCTATTCATTGAGAACACAGGTAATCCTCAACTTTTGACCACAACTGGGACCAGAACTTTAGTCATAAGTTATTGTGGTCATAAGTCAAGGCACTTATATGACTGTACCAGGTTTCTTTTTTCCCTACTGATTTTACGGCAGTTTTTAAGCAAACCACAGCTGTACATCTGAATCACATGGTCATTAAGCAAATCACATGGTCATTAAGGAAATCGCATATCATTAAATGAAACCATTCTCCCAAATGGGATTTTTTTTTTATCAGAAGCCAGCAAATTACATCACCACAGGGTGCTACAATGAGTCATAAATTGAACTGGTTGAAAAACCCATGAAATATGCCCATGGCACTGTAAAGCACCCATTACGAAGCCATCATAACTTTGAATGATCATTAAGCAACCAGTTAAAAGTTGAGGACCACCTAAAATAATACTCTGTTATACTACCTAAGTCTGGCCTTTCAAGTATTTATAATTTAAGTAATCGGATTAATTCAAGGTTGCATACCTAAAGCTACTTTAAAACTATTAATCAGAAACAGTGCAGTAATCTCCACATGTTTAATTAAAGATACTTTACAAAAAGAAATCAGGTGATCCTTCAAGTTTTTCTAAGGTCGCTTTTTTAGATAAAAAATAAGATTCAGCAAAAATTATCAAAAACCCCTCCAAACAAATTGGGAAAAACTGCTGAATCTGGACTGAGAAAATATAAAATCAGAATAAAGCTGAAAACACGGTAGGCCTTGGATAGAAGTCAACTTGGCATTTTTGCTTTAAATATACTGAGTTATTCATGACTTAATCACCTCCTGCTAGGAGGTGTACTGCAATATGCCTGCTGTACTGCAATATGCTTTATGTGGGGCTGCCCTGGGAAAGCATTTGGAAGCAGCAACTGGTATATGTGGCAGCCTGAACAGTAATGGGTATATCCCATTTATGCTCAGGCGACCCTGCTGTTTGGAAAACTGCACTGGTTGCCAGTGGGCTTCTGGGTACAATTCAAAAGTGTTGATATGACCCTTAAATCCCCACATGACAATGAACGGGTTATCTGTGGGAAAACCACCCAGGTTCATCTGCCCATCCAATCAGGCCAAATGCAAAATGCGACCTGATGGGATTTTGGAAAGTGGCATTTTGGCTTTCTACCTCCATGCATTGGAACTCCGCCCCACAGAGATCTGGTTTGCTCATTCTGTCCTTGGTTTGAGGAGAGCAACTTCTACCTAGGTATTTCATACAGGCAGGAGGGGGCATGTAGTGAGAAATTGGTAGGCACATAATTTTGTGTATTTTTTTTTGACATGTTTGTTATTAATTTTGTTTATATTGTATGTCAACTTATCCATTATTTTCAAGGTTATTGTAATCTATGTAATGATTGAAATTGTTAGCCACTTTGGGAACAGACAGCGTACAAAGCAAGCAAGCAAGCAAAGTATGTTCTTTATCCCATGTAAGGTGCTGAATGGCTTGGAACACACTGTTGCAGTTGGAAACCACAAACTTGATTAGGATCAGGCAAGGAGATACTGATATTCTTCTTCCTCCAGACTTATTAGCCCCGCCCCACCAATTCCACAATATCTCGAGCCATAACAATTATTTTTTAAAATAAGTATATTAGAAAGGAAGTTCAATGCCACAATATACTTTCAACTATACTGTCACTTCCCACGGAATTCATGAAGTTCAAGTGTACTCTTAACTGAGGCAATAGTGACTACATTCTATCGAAACTGCAGTGATGATTTAATGCATGGACACTGCATTAATTATTATTTAATAATTTAATCAGTGCTAATTAAATCAATTGCTAGACAGCAATTCTCTTCTGTGTTTAAGATACACACTTCACGGAAATGAAAGGGATAGAAAACATGTAAAAAGCATCTACTTTGTCATTACCTGGGCCTGGTGCCACGTCCACTCTCACATTTAGTGAGGACATAATTCATCCATTTTCTTGCAAAACTGATATACTGGTCTCCAATTTTCTGTCTAAATTCTCCAGACATTAGTCGGATGACTTCTTTGTGATACTGTAATAGATTTCAATGATCAGTCCAGATAATGAGCATTCAAATGGTTAGAACAGGCTAAAGAACAATCAGACACAAATTATCCTACAGTACTTTGGACACATTATCCAAAGATCCAGCTCTTTGGAAAATTCTAGGAAAGGTGGAAGGAAAGAGAAGACGTTGGTGACCAGCAGTAAGATGGATGGACTCACTTACAATGGTGATGGGTGGACTTTGTGCCCATCTTTGACCTTGCTCTAAAGGCAGAGGAAGACCTCTATGATTGACAGGTAATGGCATCTCCCAGAAAAGAAAAAGATTGGCGGTAGCATCCAAATGTGGTTAGGACATACCTCCCACCCACCCCCTTTTTTTTTTACCTGAAAGAAGTCTCATCCTGCTACCTAGAACTGATCTACTGCAACTGAAATAAGATGCAACACAAATGTTTTGCATGTCTGGATCTTACTAGAGAAACTGGGGACTACTGGGACCTCTGTCCTACTTCTGAAACCTTCTGATAAACCACTAACAAAAGAGATAGCCAACATGGTGCCATGCTTAAGGGTTTAGATTGGAGGTGGGAAGTGAAGTAGAGAGACTCAAATTCTAAGTCCTCCCTCAGCCATGGAAGGGTGACTTTGGGCTAGGCATTCTTTCTCTCAGCCCAACCTTCCTCACAGAGTCCTTGTTTTGGGGAAAAATGGGAGGGAGGAGTCTTTGAAGACTGTCCTGAGCTGCTAAAGAATTAAGATGGGACATACCTTTAGCTAACAAGCAAACAACAAATAAGTTTGAAAGCACACATTCCACACTATAAGCACCACTGGAACAGATTGCTTTTAACAGGCATGATATTCCCCTCTGAAAAAAAAAATCTGAAAAGTAGCCAGGGGTGCAGGGGTTGCCTAAGCACCCGCCGCGGTCTGCGTAGCGCCCCGTGGGAATTAAATTGGCAACGCCCCCTTGAAGCTTTAGCAGAGTAAAGTAATCAAAAGTGATTTTTCAAGGTGAGTCTACATGATTAAGTTTTATTGTTTGACAAAAAATAATAATAGAAAGCACCATGAGAATGCTCTCGGGCAAAGGATTTCACATTTAAAAAATAAAACAAACAAAAACAACAAACAAACCCTGCTTAACAGACAGAAAAACAGCCACAATGCTTCAAATCTAATTGGACTTTCTCTTTGTTCCCTTTCCTTTGATCAGCATTGCTTCTCTATGCTTCTTTCTAGCTCCCTCCCAACAATTCGGCCATGCATTTTATTTTTCTTTCTTTCTTTCTTTCTTTTTTTGCATGCCTTGAGAAACACAACTTCCTTCTCCCACCCACCCAAAAGAAGATGATGATGACAGCGGGAGGCAGGAGTCACTCTCTCCCTTGCAAGCCCCCCAGCGCCCGGAGCTGGCGAAAAAAGCAAGAGCCATTTTTACGATCTCTCTCTCTCTCTCTTACCGGAATACAGTCAAGCCCTTTCCAGCACGCGCGATCCGCCGCCACTGCTTTGCACCTTGCAAATGCAAAAACCACAGAAAGAGCAGCGCGAGCAAAGAAGAGCAGCCAGCCAGCAACCTGCTACCGGTAGTCCAAACTAACAGCGCTGCTTATTGAGTCGGAGGTGTGGGGGGAGGTAGGAATTAGGGGGAGAGGGGACAGAGGGGGTGAGGAACAGGAGAGGAGACGCCTTGGAAACCAGGCAAGAATTTTTCTGCTTCCGATTACCCCCATGCTTACAAGTTGCAAAGGAAACACGGAACTCAAAACAGCCCAGCTGCGCGGCTCGGCTTGGTTCAGGTCTTCCTCCCCACCACTTAAAAACGCGGACTTCCGGCGCTTCCCACGCTTGCAAGCGGAGACAACCGGCTGGCTTTTTTCCACCGACCAGTGGCAACTTTGCAAAAAAGGCATAATAATGATGATGATGATGATGATGTTCGGAAAAGAAAAAAAATTGGAATTCCGATTTTAGTCGGAAGAATATCATGTATGTTTTAAAACAGAAAGATCAAGAGTTTATTTCAAAATGCAGCAATCTCTGTCAAAGCAGGCAAGCTTGGTCCTTTTTGTCATGCACATAAGATACAACACAGAATTGTCAACAACATCAAAAAACCCATTTTTGGTTTTCAAAAAAGCATGTATTCTGATCATGATAAATATTGGGTTTAATACATTAGATTTTTATTCCGCCTTTTGTGGAGATCAGGGTAATGTGCATAGTATTTGTTTATTTAATTTGTACTTTTTAAACAAATAATTCAAGGTAGTGAACATCTTCCTCCTCTTAATTTTCCCCATAATAACAACAACCCTGTGAGGTGAGTTGGGCTGACAGCGACTGACTAGTCCAAGATCACTCAGCTGGCTTTCATGACTAAGGCAGGATTTGAACTCACGGTCTTACTGACTGCTAGCCTGGTGCCTTAACCACTAGACAAAACTGGAACTCTGCAATTCATGCTTATTTTCCCTCACCTCACTCACCCTCTGTGGCTGAGAAAGAGTAATCAGCTCCGATCATCCAGCTAGAACCTGAGATTTCTCATTTCCAGTCTGTCACCTTAACTATGATATTATCTTAGCTCTAATTTTCCTGTATGTTGATTTACATGTAATAGCTATGAAATAGGTTGAGATGATTGCATATAAATTTTATTGAATTTACAATTAAAAAAATAACATAACAACATTACATAAGAAACAGAGAGAGAAAAAGAAGAAAGAAAGAAGAGAAAGAGAGAGGAAGAAAAAAAAAAAACGCTCGGTCTTGCGACCGAAAAAGGAGAAAAAGGAGTATAAAAGAGAGAAAAAAAAAACAAAAAAAAACACCAAAGAAACGGAAGAAAAAAGAAAATACGTTAAAACCAGACAAATATTCTTTTTGACAGTCTACAAGATCCAATTCTCCAATTCTTCTCTTACTTTAAATATACACATCTTATCGCTATTTATGGATATTTATGCTTATTTATGCTCATTGAACAGTTTATCTCTGATATAACCAATTATACCATGCATTCCAATTATTATCAAATGCTGAAGACTCTTTATTTTTAAGAGCTATGGTTAAATTGTCCATTTCTGCGCAGTCACATATTTTCTGAATGACCAATTGATCTGTAGGTAAACGGGATGATTTCCAGCACTGAGCAAATGCTAATCTGGCCGCAGTTAGAATATGAATTATTATATATTTCGTCTTTTTAGGAAAATGTTTATCAGAAATCCCTAGTAGGAAGAACTCTGGTTTATATTCAATTTGATCTTTGGTTATCTCCTCCAGCCATTTTCTAATTTTTTGCCAGTATTTCTGGGCTTCTTTACAGGTCCACCACATATGAAAGTAGGTTCCCTCTATGTTTTTACATTTCCAACATTTTGGACTAGAGTTTGGGTTCATTTTCGCTAACCTCAAAGGGGGTAAGTGCCATCTATATAACATTTTATACATATTTTCTTTGTACGCCGCAGATTTCGTAATCTTAATGATTCTATTCCAGATCTTTTCCCATTCTGTTAATGTAATGCTTCTTCCAATATTCCTACTCCACATTATCATGTTCCCTTTCACTATCTCTTGCTCTAATTCTACCTCCAATAAATATTTATAAAATTTAGAGATATTCTTTTTATTTGATCCTAATAAGATTTTATCTAAGTGTTGTAATTTGCTATAGATTCCAAACTCTTTGATATCTTGTTTGTATCTACTATGGATTTGTATATATAACCACTGATCAATTTTAAATCCCTGTTCCTGTAAGTCCTGTCGAGTTCTTAATTTTCCTAAAGAATCTAATAAATCTTTATATTTAGTCGTTTTTGTTATATCCAAATTGTTGGGATGAACCATTGCCTCCATTGTTGAAAGCCAAATCGGAATTTTTAAATAATGTTTTTTACATATTTTTTTCCAATTAGTTAATAGTGAATCTCTAATAAGATGTCTATGAAAGTACGCCTGTTTAGTTTTCCCCACATCCCATAGAAATGCGTGCCATCCTCTCTGAAGGTCGTGCCCTTCCAAGGCTAGAGTTCTTTTATTCCGTAAATTGACCCAGTCTTTTAACCATAGTAAGTTGGCTGCCCAATAATATAATTCCCAGTTTGGAAGCGCTAGCCCACCTCTACTTTTTGCATCTTGTAAGGCCTTAATACTGATTCTAGCTTTTTTCCCTTGCCAAATAAATTTAAGAGTTACCTTATTTATATCATCAAAAAAATTTTTTGATAATTTTATTGGGATTGTCTGGAATAAGTAAAGGAGTTTTGGTAAAATGTTCATTTTGATTGTGGCAATCCTGCCCAGTAAAGAAAGCTGCAACTTATTCCAAGATTCTAGATCTTTCTTAATTTGCTGTAACAGTTTATCATAATTATTCTCTTTGAGTGATTTACTATGTGGTGTTAACCATATGCCTAAATATTTGACCTTTTTTGTTGCCTGTATCCCCATGGTTTTTTCTAATTCTTTCCTCTGGTTCTCTGTTAGATTTTTAGTCAGTAATTTCGTCTTATTTCTGTTGATCTTTAATCCTGCTACTGAACCATATTGTTCTAGTTCTTTTATTAGATTATGTCCTTTTTCCATGGGATCCTCTAGGAAGAAAACCATATCGTCTGCAAACGCCTGTAATTTATATTCCTCTGCCTTGACCCTAACCCCTTGGATTTCAGGATTTTGTCTTATCCGCGTTAACAATGATTCTAAAGCAAATATAAATAAGAGGGGTGAGAGAGGGCAACCCTGTCTAACGCCCTTTTCAATGCTTAGTGGGCCTGTTTGTTCACCATTAATTAGTATATTGGCTTGTTGGGTATTGTAAATTGTTGTGATAATATTCTCGAATTTAGTGCCCAGATTCATGTTATAGATTTTTTGTATTAAAAAGTGCCAATGTAAGTTATCGAATGCTTTCTCCGCATCTAGAAACAAGAGTGTAAATTGTTTCTCTGGATGAGCTTCATAATATTCTAAGACGTCAATAACGGTTCTTAAATTGTTTTTAATTTGGCGGAATGGAAGGAAACCATTTTGGTCTTCATGAATGTATAAATTTAAAACTTGTTTTACTCTATTCGCAATAATTGAGGTAAATAATTTATAATCGGCGTTTAAAAGTGAGATTGGTCTATAATTGTTGATATATCTGGCATCCACATCCTCCTTCGGAATTAACGCAATCAACGCCTCCCTCCATGAGTCTGGCATTTTGGCAGCCGAAAGTACTTCGTTAAACACTTCCAGCATCAGAGGCCCTACTAAATCTATTGTGGCTTTATACAATTCTACTGGAATCCCATCTGGACCAGGGGATTTATTATTACATTGATTTTCCATTGCAGATTTTAACTCAGACCATGTAATATCCTTATTTAGTAATTCTTTGTCTCCTTCCCCTATTGTTTTATCATTCGTATTCTCCAGATAAGTTCTTATTTTATCCTCAATGATTTCTTCTTTTTTATATAATCTTTGGAAATAGTTTAATATAATATCCTTTTTCTTCTCAATCTCATGTTGTGGGATGCCTTTCTCGTCTATTAATTGGTGTATCAATCTCTTTTCTTTTTCTTTTTTAAGTTTATAAGATAGCCATCTTCCTGGTTTATTGGCGTGTTCAAAATAATTTTGTTTGGACCTTCTCAAGCTAACTTCTATTTTATCTTGTTCAATTAAATTCAGCTTATGTTTGGCTAGTATTAACTGATTTTGTAGTCCTTGGGTCTTAGGGGTTTTTTGTAATTGTGTTTCTAAGTCTTGGATTTGTTGTTGTAACGCGTTTTGTTGGGCATAAATTCTCTTGTTTCTCATAGCATTATAGGAAATTGTTGTGCCTCTTATAAATGCTTTCATAGTATCCCAAATGTTCTGTTTTGAAGTTGTTTCATTATTATTATCTTTTAGAAAATAGTTTAGCTCCTCTTTCAGTTTATTAATATACTCTTCTTTGTTTACAATTTGGTTATTTAGTGTCCATCTTTTTTTTATTCGTCTCCTATCCCTCCAAATTAGCTGTATTGGGTTATGATCAGCCCATTCATTCGGTAGAATTTTGATTTCTTTTATTTCATTAGCCAAGTCCAAATCCATCCAAGCCATATCTATTCTGGTCCAAGTCTTATGTGGGTTAGAATAATATGTAAATTGTTTTCCTTCAAGATTCCGTTCCCTCCATAGATCTTTTAAATTTAACTCTCTCAACATTTCCTTACATGCCGCAGAGTTCCCTTTTCCCCTTCTTGTTTTTCCCCATATTACTATGGTCTTTCTGGTAGTCTGCAATGGAGTTAAAATCGCCAATCAAGCAAATGTTTCTTTTTTCAAAGCCTACTATTTTTTGGTGAAGGTGTTTAAAAAATTTCCCCTGGTCATCATTTGGGGCATAGATTGCTACAAGTAAAAATGTGATGTGGTTTATCCAAACTTGTATAACCAGAGTTCTTCCTTCAGGATCCGACCAGATTAATTCTGCCTTTACATCTTGTTTTACATAAATTGCAATTCCTTTTTTCTTGTGTTGGTCGGCCGGTGCTGTAAAAAGTTTACCTAATTTTGGACAAATTAATTTGTCCGAAATAGGTTGAGATGAAGTAACAGTTTGCCAATGTTTAGTTAAAATATACGACTTCCTTTTCTTCTGAAAAGGCAAAAGAATTTTCTCTTGGACCTACCTCAAAGCCGAAGTTGTAACACTGAATCATGGCTTCTCTATAATATTGCTGCAGGGTGGCAAATTCTGATTCATCAAATTCAGCATCAAATTCGGAAGTGAACATATGATCAACTCTATCGATTGCGCTGCTTATTTTATTGCACAGGTGCAAAGCATCACTCTGGAAAATACGGAAAAAAGCTCTGCTGATATGTTTGGAATGTAAAGACGCATAATTCTGCTGGAATTTACATAAACATAACAATATTAATAATAAACATAAATGCCTACATCCTTGCTATTTAGAGCATTAATCTAGAATTGAGGGGTAGTATTACAATCCTAAGCAGGTAGATCTCAACTGTTCAGAGTTACGACAGGAAAGGATGCTTTACAGTCAATAAAGTACTTCAGCCCATTATAAAATGTCACTCCTGCTCTCCATTTACAATTGGTTGTAGTGTCCTGCAGCCAGTTTCTGGCAAAAAATGTCCATTTAGGATGATGGTTTCACACTTACAACTGATTTGAACCTATGATCATGTTACTTACTTAACAACCGCTATAAAAATGATTGTAGAATATGCAGTCACCTAGGTGCCTCATTTTATCACTGTCATAACTTATGACTGAAATTCTAGTAACAATTCTGGTTGTAAGTCAGGGACTACCTGTGTACATGTACCTGGAGTTAGCCTCACTGAAATTAATGGAATTACTTCTGTCAATGTGTGTAGAAATATAATATTAACAACTAAAAAAAAGTCATCAGTAATATGGCATGTATTCTTTTGGCAGATACATTTGACTATGAGTTGTGGACATGAAAACATGTCTCTTACACACACTTCATAATTATATTTATATATACACTGCTCAAAAAAAATAAAGGGAACACTTAAACAACACAATGTAACTCCAAGTCAATCACACTTCAGTGAAATCAAACTGTCCACTTAGGTAGCAACACTGATTGACAATCAATTTCACATGCAAATGGAATAGACAACAGGTGGAAAGCATAGGCAGTTAGCAAGACATCCCCAATAAAGGAGTGGTTCTGCAAGTGGTGACCACAGACCACTTCTCAGTTCCTATGCTTTCTGGCTGATGGTTTGGTCACTTTTGAATGCTAGAGGTGCTGTCACTCTAGTGATAGCATGAGACGGAGTCTATAACCCACACAAGTGGCTCAGGTAGTGCAGCTCATCCAGGATGGCACATCAATACGAGCTGTGGCAAGGTTTGCTGTGTCTGTCAGCGTAGTGTCCAGAGCATGGAGGCGCTACCAGGAGACAGGCCAATACATCAGGAGACGTGGAGGAGGCTGTAGGAGGGCAACAACCCAGCATCAGGACTGCTACCTCCACCTTTGTGCAAGGAGGGACAGGACGAGCACTGCCAGAGCCCTGCAAAATGACCTCCAGCAGGCTATAAATGTGCATGTGGCTGCTCAAATGGTCAGAAACAGACTCCATGAGGGTGGTATGAGGGCCTGACATCCACAGGTGGGGTTTGTGCTTACAGCCCAATACCGTGCAGGACGTTTTGTGTTCCCTTTATTTTTTTGAGCAGTGTATTTTCAGTCATGTTAGGAATATATTGATAACTCCTCAAAGATACATATAGTTTTTTTAAAGGTTCTGTTTCCACTTCCTATTATGCAGCACTTATGAAAATGTTTTTAATATGTATCAAAACAGAGACAGTTCTGCTGCCTAAACAGTACATGCAATCCTTACAAAATGTCCCGTTCAACTTATTTGCAAATCGCTAATCCAAATTCATAAGCTCTCAACAGTTCTAGACAATTTATAAAATGACAAATATTTGTAAAACTCAGGGCACATATTGCCTTACTGACTTTCTATGGAAAGCAGATCTAAGTGGTTTATTGTATATTTTGAAACAATAAATGGAGTAGAATCAGCAGCTGACACCAAGAGAGGACAACTATGGTCCCTTTAGCACCTGTGACCTGAAGTCCACAGGTCATAGAAGAGCCATAGCAGTGTGCTCCTGGTCTAGGAGAAAATAAATTAAAAAAGTACTGTACCTTCAACTCTTGCAAAGCTTTGGCAATTTCCGGTTGGCTGGAAGTTTGCTCCTGCTGCAAAGAGATCAATCCTTCAAGTAACTGCTGAAAGGATTTTCTCTGGTTTACAAGATGAACCGGCTGCATTACCACAAGGAGGAGGTTGTCAACCTAGAGCAAAAGGGAACACAGTGTTGCTGAAAAGAGAATTCAAATTATTTGATGCACTCTAAATATTCCAAGGATGGAACTTCTCTTCCCAGAAAAATTAACCAACTTAACGAGAATCAGTTACAGTTTTGGATTTACTAAAGGCTTCTCTCATTATAATCAATTAAAACCAATTTTATAAATAGAAGCAGGTTTCTATGCATAGGGTTTGTCCAAATATTTACTGGAAGTTAATAGAGGAATGAGAATCTTGTGTGCTAAAAAAAAAAGTGTTAATTATCCCATTTGTCAAAAGGCGGTCATTCTCACTGGAATTTTAATTACACTTATGTGTGTTGTTTCTTGGGGAAATTAAAGATGAAAGGTTTGTTTACAACATGAAAATACTACCCTACTTTTATTTGTGCCTTCAGATCATGATTGTCAGGGAACTTCCTAGACAAATCCGTGCAGATTTATTACCAATGTTTTTCAGAAATGGTTTGCTGTGACTTCTTTTCTAAGGGTGAAGAGTGTATGGCTCACCCAAAGTCACCCAGATGGCTTTGAGCCAAAGGAAGGACTAGCACTGTCTCCTGGTTCCTAGTCCAGCACTTTTAAGCATTAAATCAGACTGGCTCGATAACATGTTTAAAATACCTAACAAGGGAAAGCCACATTATTAAATATCCGGGACCTTATGGTAGTAATATTTCAGATATAATTTAGAACACATTAAGCATTTGGGTCAGTGTTTTAGCTAACACAGAAAGACTTTACCTTCATATTTTTCAGTGTATTAATAGTTTCCACTTGAGGAACTATTTTGATTGGCTGGCCTTCCCAAGTGCTCCAGCTATCATCAAATTCTTGGTCTTTTTCACTGTATTTTGTCATCAGTAAAAACGATTCCCCTGCAACCTCATCAGAATCTTTCGAGCAATCCTTTCCTGCAGCTGCATTAAGCAACTGCAAGATAAGAGATTTTTCCTGTGCAAAAGTATCTGGCACGAAAATTTGTAAATTTTCAAGCCCAGGAATTTGTACCTGTAAAACAAATCAAAAAGGTCGAAACAGTTAATAAGGAGATCCATATCCCATTTTCATAATTTTCTCTGTTTGGTGGAGAGGTCAAAACAAATGGATTATCTATGCAAAATAAAAAAGGTTTGTAACACCCCCCCCTTCCCCCAGCCTCCAATACAGACTGCTTTTGTTTCTTTGATGTGCAAAAAGTTTTCGGAGACTTAATTATGGGAATTCCTCTGAACTGTGACAATTCCAGTTGCAAAAAATATTTATATCATCATTACCTGGTTGCTAGCAGTCTAGCCTTAGTAAGTATCTAGAAACAGCAGGCATTTGTCTTCCCATTTAAGTATATTTAAGCTGCCATCCCATGTATCTGAATTTCTGAGTAAGCTCAAGGACTCCTTCCACTAATATTCCCATGCTACGTAGCCCCTGGACTGATTTTTACCTTTGTGTACTGCTGTGCTTTCAGAACAGCAAGGAAATCCCTCACAGAGGCAGATAATGTGAACTCCGCTGCTATTTCAAGGTCCTACAAATATGGTGAGAAAAGTACATTTTGTTACAAATGAACGGCTTAGCATGTAATTGCAACTGGATTTGGTCTAATTTGTTTACCTTTCTTAATCTCTTGGCAAAGCCAAGAGCTTTCGATGCTCTCTCTCTAGCTTCATGAAATAGCTCTTTCAATGCCCGGCTGGTTTCTATAACAGACCTCCTACAAAAATCAAACAAAATGCATTCACAAAACCTTTCATTTCAATATTCCAATTCGGAAAAGAGCATGTAAATGAAGATCAGAAAGCAAATACGTGCAAACAAGAAACTAAAAATGCAATTGCGATAGCTAAAGTATGTATTTTATTTACAAGCAGTTCTTGTTAGGGATCACAACTGGGACTGGCAACACACTCATGAAACAAAATAATCATCAGGGAAACAGTAACTGTGCTTATGATCTTACTTCAGCTTTGCTTTGCAGTCCAAAAAAGGTTGTAGAGTTACTTTAGATTATTGACGTATTAGCAGCCACTAAGTCAGGCAGTCGCTAAGCAAGGATTACCTGCATTGATTATATCTATTGATATAGCTGCCAATCTCAAAATTATGACTCTAGGTGGCACACATAGAATTACAACAAAACACAACAGCAATTTATAATGAAATAATATCAGTTGAGGATGAACCTAACTGGGATCACTGAAAGCACAATATCCCAATGATGCGGTCACCTATTATCCATGTGTGTTGCACAAAAATTGTTCTCCTCATCTTGGCTATATTCCTCATTAACTCTAATCAGTATCAACAATGGTACTCTATTCATATATGAACATTTTCCGAGGAGGAATACCTGATTTCATCTGAAGCAGCACTATCATCAGCACTAGCCCAAAATTCATTACAGCTCTCTTGTAAGCCAGAGTCCAGAAAGATTCCTGTTGATTTTAATAGTATTCCTGCAATCTTACTGCAACAAAAATAAAACAGTCACTTCTGAGAAAGTTTACACACCAAAAAGTTCCTTTCCTGGAACCATAATAGAGATAAAGGAATACTGGCCCTCCAAACATTGCTCAGTGCAAAACCTAACATTTCTCAACCCAGACTGACTCAGACGCTGGAAATTATGGTTCTGCACAGCCACGTTCTGCATCTCTGCACTACCAGGCAAGCAGTAATTCAGATATAAGCATATGATATTTAAATTCCTCCCGTCTTATTTTTTTATCCATCTTATTTGGAGGGATAGTTTGCAATTAAAAAAAAGACTGAACATGGGAGGAAAAGTTAGATACGTTTATCAAAAAAAGAATATCCTTTTTTCATTTATTTACATAAGATGTAAATAAAGCTGTCTGATAAAATCAAATATTTCTGATCCTGATTTCAAGTGGGTTGAAGTTTTTTTTAAAAAAAATATACAGCTAAGAAAATTGCTACTACTTTTAGTACATTAACTTAATTTTGCATTAAGAATTTTCATCACAGCTATATATAATTAGAAACAGTTTCTGTACATGGCTAAATAGAGCACACATAAGCAGATATAAAAGCCATGTCCCACATTTGCATTCCAGGATGCAATAGATCAGGGGTCTATAAACTTGGAAACTTTAAGACTTGTGGACTTCAACTCCCAGAATTCCTCAGACAGCATATTGCCAAGTTTGGAGACCTCTTCAATAGATTAGACTCTGCCCTGTAACTTTGTTTAATTTGTAAAAGAATAACATGGCAACCTAGTGTTTCCTCCGTAAGATATTTCTGTGCCAAAACATAGGATAAGTGTTTTGGAAAAGAGCAGCAAATGAAATTCAACACTCCTGGATAGACAAATTTCTTGGCCAAACTTTAAGGAGTCTATTTGACATGTAGAACAATGTGTGAAAAAGAAAATATTAGCACCAAGAACAGAGCTAAACAGTAAGTAGACATATTTTGAACAAATAATTGGCTTCCATTAAAATTATTCAAATTATTAATATCAAACTAGAAGTGTTAGTTATCATTAAAAAGATGAACTTTTAATTTGTCAGAATATAAAAATTGGGACACATATAAGCAACTTATTAAAATGTATTACAGTTGTTAATGGAAATGTAGTATTAAAAAGTCAGTTGGACTTTAAAATAAATCCCAGAAATTTTAAATGGGAACTATTTTTCAAAGATCTGAATTTTCACTTACTGGAAAAAAGTAAACCAATATAAACAAAAAGAAGATTCATAGTAATAATGCAATTATACCAGAATAGTTTTCCAGCTTCAGCTTCACCTCCTTGTATATAAGGCGCTATTTCTTTGGTGAAATTCCATTCTTCTTCCAAAAGATTTTTTAAGCTATGAGATGCCTGAGGTAACTGCTGTAGCATTTCGATCCAGTTTTGCATGTAATTAACATAAACCTTGAAACCCAGAGGGAAGAAAGAGTAGGGAAAGCCATTTAAAGAGCAAAGACAAATCCCTCATCCATAATATCATGTTAGATTTATAAAATTGAACACTGCTTACAATTCTCTTCCCAATATAGAATCCTTTTATCAATTCTCATGTTCCTGGTGCAGAATTACAGTCCCCCATCCTCCATGCCAATCAAGAGACAGAATTCCTCAGAAACTACTGGAAACTATAGAGGCTTCATTGGCTTGGAAAAGGGATACTTTCACATAAAGAATTGTGTGCAGGTAGTCCTCAAGTTACAACATTTAGTGACCATTCAAAGTTACAACGGCCCTGAAAAAGTGACTTATGACCATTTTTCCTACTTACAACCTTTGTAGAAGCCCCAAGATCATATGATCAAAATTCAGATGCTTGGCAACTGGTTCATACTTATGACTGTTGCTATGTCCCAGGTTTATGTCATCCCCTTTTGCAACCTTTTGACAAGCAAAATCAAGGGGAATGCAGATTCACTTAATAAACATGTTACTTATCAACTACAGTGATTCGCCTAACAACTATGGCGAAAAAAGGTCATAAAATGGGGTACAACTCAACAAATGTCTGAGTTAACAGAAATTTTGGGCTCAATTGTGGTCATACGTTGAGGACTTCCTGTACTTAATTCAATCAACAGCACAGGTCTACTATAACATGTATTAAAAGGACCTGCAGCATACCTGTGGCTTTTAACACCAAAAAGAGAGTCTATTGGTGACTCATACAAATAGACTTATTACTGTCAAGAGCTGCACTTTGAAAACTGTTTTTTACCTGGGAGAAAAATACATCTCTTTCTCTGTGGGCCTAGTTCCCCTGGCAGATGACAGAAGGTAATATGTGTTCTGCAGAGCCAGGAATATCTACAAAGAGTAAGCTCCCTGCAGTTGCTCTTTTTGGATGGGGTCATGTTAACTTCTCATCACAACATCCTTCCTAGAAAACATCCATGGTTCTAACCATGTCCCAAAGGTGGTTTTCCAAGAGGCAACTGGACTTTCTGGTTTTACTTTGAAGATGTTTCACTTCTCATCCAAGAAGCTTCTTCAGCTCTCTTGACCAGCAAAAGAGGCCTCAAAGAAAAACCAGAAAGTCCAGTTGCCTCTTGAAAAAATACCTTTGGGACAGCCATGACTTGGATGACTGAGAATCTCCATAGACATTCTAACCGTGGTTTCTGTCCCTGTTCCCTCCCTTTGAAACAGTATTTCCTTCTGAGCCCCAGATGGTCTTGACCTTGCCTGCATTTTTTTTTAAACTTGGAAGACTTAGTCTCATAAGTACATGATCAAATTTGTCAACCTGTCTGGTTCAAATTTTACAATGGTTGTATATCTGCGGCATAATCTGTCATCATTTATTGCATTTTATGACTGTTTGCTCCCTAATGTTAATAGTCTTTACCTTGACTGTTTTCAACAGGGTGGCTATCAATATATTGACTAAATATAAACAAGCAAACCCTTAAAGGCTCTTAGGGAAAGGGAAGAAGCCAAAATCTATGTCTCTTCAGATCTGCAGCCTGAATAATGTACAAAATAATATATCACGGGTGTGCTTCAAATATATAAGTAGTACTGGTTTATTTTCTGGTAGTCCTGCTTCACTGGCTCATTGATGGGCTCAGGTAGCCCACAGAATAGACAGTATATGGAATGATTTTATTAAAAAGAAAATATATATATATAAAAGAATAGGCAGTATATAATCAGAGAATTTCCCATTCCCAGTTTTTTGCAGGCCAGGAAAGTTATTTGTTAATTGAAGTAATCTAAAAATAACCAAACAAAACTTGAATTATCAACTATTACACTGAATTGTTAGTTACCATTAACATCTTATGCAAGTCATTTTCGAAATAGTCGATGTTGCAGTGGTCCTGAAGGTCATCCACAACCTCACGTAACATAAACTGGTAATATTGCTTCATCAGGAGGCCACCTTTTAGAACCTCTCTACACTCGCGCACTAGCTGCAAGAGAATAGCCCAGAAATAGTACACTGATCAATCTGGTGTTTTCATCCTGCAAAATGCAAAGATGTTTCTAAAGAGCAAATTCTATAAATATCTGTCCTCTTAAGTTCAGCTGGTACATGAGACAAACAGCTCACAAAAAGAGTGATGCAAAAAAAACCCCAATTTGTAGAACAGCTGATGTCTGCAAAGCATGAATCCTTGGTCATCCATTTTCCATCTTCACATGGCCTCTTGCTGTAATGTTTTGTCTCATGGAATTCTGCAAGTACAATTATCCTTCAACCGCCTGCATTTTTTCATATTCGCTTGAATACTGAATAGGTGTAGTTTGCGTTTAAGACCAAAAATTTATAATTTTTCAATAACCAGCTAATTATATATGCTTCTTTAAAACATGCAGAGGTAAATATTGAGTTATTTCATATAGATATACATATACATATATAGATACAAATATATAAATATATATAGATATTATATATATATATCATACACACACACACACACATATATGCCATTCACTCAGCGTATTACTGAGGATCACAGCAATACAGTATTCACTATGTTTATTTATTTTTTTCTTGGAGGATACTGACTGTGGATTATTGGTACCATCTATATCAAAAGGCCATTTTTCTTATCAGCCTAAGTATTGTTGATTAGTGAATGACATAGCAATAACAGAATAAAAACACTAACATCAAGTATAAAATGACAATGCAGACAAAATAAAACCATTATCCCAAGATGGAGGAGGAGGAGGAGGGAGTGGAGGGGGAGGGGGGATTGACACTTAATTAGTCAACCACTTATAAATATACAAATTAGTCAATCATTTATAAATATATATTACACTGAAATTTGTAAACATTATGCAGCATACACATCTTCATTTTGCATTACAGCATAAATTGTCCAAAGTTAGAAAACATGTGAATGGTTTTACTAAGAAGCCATTTTATTTAATTTGGGGGGGAAAATAGATTGCTTTTATGCCCTCCACAGAATCCTCTTTTCAAAACATAAAAATCAACATCTCATAGCTATTCTCCTGAAGTGCTTATCATTTGTAAACAATTTAGAAGTTGCACAAAACATCATTTTTTCATGGTTGATGAAATCATTATTTGTAAGCCTTTAGTATTTGTCACAAGCAATGTTCTAGTTCATTATCTTGTGAGCAGCATCTGGGCTATAGGAGAGAATTGTCAATATTGAAAAGAAGATACATTTTTACCTAATACTATAGAAGAAAATAAAATAAAATAAGACAGGCAAACCTGCTTAATACTCAGGAGGGATGACTTCCCAGCAGGCCGCTGTTCCAATCTTAATTTGAGACACTCATGGATAACATTGAGAAGAACTCGGCAAAGAACCAGAAAGGCAGGTTCAAAAGATGGCAAATCCATAGATTTCAACTCTTCCCATGATACAGTACTGCATTTTTGATCTGAAGAAGCTGGAGAATTTGACAACTGCACATAATCTGAACATAAAATGGGATCTGGGTATTCAGAAAACTAACAGCAATAAAAGAGAGAAAGAGAGAATTTGATGATTAATTTCTTCTCTTCTTTAGAACAGCATTTTTTTTAATAAATCAGATATTAACTTTAAAAACAACTGCTGAAAATACATGAAGCAAAACCACCTTCTGTTTAAACTGCATCCTATCCTTGCAGATAAATGTTTCAAGAAAGGTCTTCTATGCTATACAGCACGGATGATGTATGCTACCTCTCCTCCCCCAATAAAAAAATCCCTTTTGATGCAAGCATGGGAGTTAGATTGGGATTAAACAACTGGTTGCTCCAGAAAAGTAGCACCATAGGAGTAATCAGGCTTGTAGCAATGATACATAACCAGCATGGTTGCTAGATTTACAAAAAGACGTTTTGTAATACCCAAGGAAAATGGTATTTAACAGAAACTACATAAAACTAAAATGCCAATGAGATAAAGGAATAGATACATCAATTATTAAAATACCAACAATGTCTTAAATGTCTTTAAGCTTGCCTTTCTTGGGCCTACATAAGAGAACCACAGAGGCAGCTGGTAGCTGCTATTTTCACTCTGGACTTGGGATGGTATCATTATATAGCTCAATGGGAAATTAAAACAAGAGACCATTAAATCAGAATACCTGGACATAGGGAAATAGTATAGGGAAATGCTGGGAAGCTGAGCCATTGACAGTCCAGCACACATCCCGGGGTGCCAGATGTTGATGATAAGGATTAATATGAAGAAAGTTCTTGCCAGTTTTCACAACCTACTCCATAATAGTAGTAACCAAACTGCTGATCAAATGTGAAGTTCATGTACCAGGCATTCATCACTATACATATAACTGAAGCATGTGCAAAAAACATCAGGCAAAGGAAATGTTTCCCTTGAATTGGGCCTGATAAGTATAGTCTACTATGGTGTCCCTCAGGTTTCTTCTGGGATGTTTTCTGACTGCCCAGTTGAGCCTACAGCCTGAGAGGAGGGTGGGGCTCTCATCCTAACCATCCCCAACTTTGCTTCGCTTCAAACCTAATTTTCACTGGCCAGCACTGTCATTCACTTAGGGAATGAAAATAGAGAGAGAGAGAATGCTATAAAAAAGAGAAGCAGACTTACCTGGCTTTGAATCTTCTCCAACTATCATGTCTAAAAATTTAAATAGAAGTAGGTTTTACCCCAGTCCTAGGAACTAAGGATAAATTATTCTGCAATATGGACCCAGTTTAAACCTTTTCTAAAAAAAAAAAACCCAATCTTTGCTTTTTCAGTGGTCTTCTTCAGATCCCATATTTTATATATATTATATAATATAATATAATATAATATAATATAATATAATATAATATAATATAATATAATATAATATATTTATATTATATTATATTATACATATATATATATTTCCCTCAACACTGTTCAACTATTTACAAAGTGTACACTATTACTGTTAATCTTCTCATCACTCCTTATCACCCATCCCCTCCCACTTGACTGTTTCCTAGTATGATTTGATTGTTGATTGCACCCTATGACTATCATTAAGTGTTGTACGTTATGATTCTTGATTCTTAACAAATGTACCTTTTCTTTATGTATACTGAGAGTATTTACACCAAGACAAATTCCTTGTGTGTCCAATCACACTTGGCCAATGAACTATTCTATTCTATTCTATTCTATTCTATTCTATTCTATTCTATTCTATTCTATATTTTCCTAAATATTTGTAATTCTTTATAAAAACAAGACAATAATTTAACACTCTGTAAAGTTGATAAAAACCATTTACAAGTTAAAACAATCATCATCTTTATCCATATTATCAAAATCTGCAGTCAAACAGATCAGGTATCAGGAAAAACAGTCAAATTGCTATGTCTATGGAGGAATTTACATAGAAAGGTAGCAGCATTTTTCTCCACCTACAACATTCAGAGGTTAAAAACCCTGCTTCGAGACACTATTTGCTTCATAATTTCAGTAACGTAATTCTACTTTTGTGGGTTTAAAATTACACAGTGATTATTAAAAAAACAAATTTGAGAGACAAGGTATAATAAAACATTTATCATATATATGGATCATTATATGATAACCACACAAATTACACAATTGAAATTAATATTTGAGTTTGTATCATAACATGAAAAAAATTGTCTTCTTCCATTTAAAAATTAATTCCAGGAATCTGACACGGACATAACATTTGAATGCACCCTCTACTCAGCCAGCATGCAGCAAACCCAAAAGAAATGTAATGAATGAGGATGGGGTTTTTTGAAGGGGTTAAGCATGCAAGACAAGAAATTCAATTCTCCTGTAAATCATTAAAATAACTGGATGGTTTTGGTTAGCTACTCTCATCCAGCATAATCTTCTTGACAAAATTATTGCAAGAATAAACAGGAGAGGAAAAAAGCAGGCAGGCTTCTAGAGCTACTTGGAGGAAGAGCAAAATATAAATACAATAACGTATAATGTTTTTGTATCAATTATTTTGAATTTAAGTGTATTTAAAATATTCAGTTTACTGTAGCTTAGCTCTCACAACACTTCCTGGCAATTTTTATTCCCTAAATTTCAGAAGGATTGGAACATTTATTCTTTTTTTCATTTTGTATAAAATTACATTTCAGTCTAATGAATATCCATTCTTCCACAATCAAAATCATATGAGAAAACAATAAATTAGCATAGATAATATTCTGTGAGGAAACTTTCATTTCTAGCACTTGCCCATTATTACTCCAATAAGGCCTGTCCCATATTATAGGGTTATTAATATCATCACTAAGAAAGAAGGAAGAGAATGGGAGAAATTGAGTATCTAGTGCAGCGGCCCATAATCTTTGGGGCACTAGGGACCGATTCTGTGGAGTTTATTCCATGGACTGGAGGGGTTTCATGTGCTGCCTTCATCCTGTGGATGAGGCTTTGCTTGTTTTGAGCACACTGGTCCCTGGCATGCTGTGGACCAGTGTCGGTCCACAAAGCAGGGGTTGGGAACCCTTGATGTAGTGTATTTCCACTAACCTTTAACTGTCAGGATACAGGTAGTCCTCAACTTATGACCACAACAGAGTCCAAAATTTAAGCAAGGCAGTTGTTAAGTGAGTTTTGCCCCATTTTACAACCTTTTCTGCCACAACAGTAGTTAAGTCAATCATGCAGTCACTAAGTGAATCTGGGTTCTTCCATTGATGGTGCTTGTCGGAAACTGGCTAGGAAAGGTACAAATAGTGATCATAACTCTGCAACAGTGCAACTACCGTCATAAATACATTCCTGTTGCAAAGCGCCCAAAGAGGCTGCTGCAACGGTTGTTAAGTGTGAAAAGTGGACATAAGTCACTTTTTAAAGTGTCATCGTAATTTTGAGCGGTCACTAAAGGAATGGCTGTAAGTCAAGGACTACCTGTATAACTTTTTGTGTTGTGGCTTTTTTGTAGCACCAGACACTACAGAATTGACAAGGAAAGACCACATACATAACATTATGTTTCACCTGATAATGTCACCATTATCAAAGCAAGTCAACATGTTTTAGCATGTTTCAAACTATAAGCGCATTTTTACATAGAAAAACTTTTTGAAGAAAAACATTGCTTAAAAGGACTATTGCTTGAGCATCATCCATTCCACCCGCCTCCCCAAACCTACCTCCAGCTGCTGATCGTTCTTTATCAATGCCATTCGGGCCCTCTGCAAGGAACCATGCATTAACTTGTGCAGTCTTAAAATGAGTTTCCTCAACCCCATCTGTTTCAGTGCTTTATCTACAAATGGCCTATAAATAGAGGTCAAATCTCCACTGCAGCCTGGGTCTCTGTTGCACTCTGTAACTGCCCCGCGGGTTGAGTCATCTTCAGATTCAAGCCTATCAAGCTTTCTTGACAAATGATCCTGTGCCTCAAAGTCAAAATTTGTCTCATTGGCAAGATTTTTCCAGATGGCTTGTCTTATGAGATTCTCCTCAGAGATTTGTTCTTCACCTTCACTTTCCTCTGTGCACGCACCTGAGGTTACCCTATCGTCCTCATCTTCATCGTAAACTTCATCCTCTGAATCATTGTCCCTGAATGAACGAGGAGAAGGGATTTCAAACACTGGCCAGCCAATGTTAGAAAGATCCTTGATGCCCAAAACAGTCCCCATAATCCTTAGTTTCTGATTTAAATCTTTTGTAATGTTTAACCAAAGACAAAGTGCCTGCACCCTGTCTTGAAAATCCCTTGCAGCATATTTTTCATAGTCACTTTGAAGGGCCTTCAGAGATGGATAAAGTGCTTCTACGTATTCTAACAGCTCCATTATCCGCTTTACCTGTTCAAAAGAGACCCGCTGGCGATGGAGGTGCTCGTGATAGCTTGAGTAGCCCATTACATTAGCTCCATGGGCTGCTTTACACTGTCTTGTCGACGTACCATTAAGACTAGCTCCATTTCCCACACAGGAGAGGTTCCGATAGTTTACCTTGAAAGTAAAAATTTCATTGATAATATCAGGGATGGCTTGACGAGCTGTGTACAAATAGAAGTCTTGGTCCTTAATAGTCCGCCCTGCATGCCATGCCTGCAGTTCAAGCCAGATTAATTCATTGGATCGGTTTAATTCAACAGAGGAAGTGCTTTCCTGGCCTTTCTGCTCTTTGTCCTTTTTCTTGGAAACTGAGGTAAGCTTTAGCAATAGCCGCAGGGTCTCAAAAAATTTCAAGCGGTCTGCTGGGTAATCGGTACGAGACGTCTGGCGTGTAGTTTTGGCTATAGGCACGGGTACAGATACTGGAGGCTTAGCATTGCTGCAGCCAAGGCTGAGGTAAGGCTTATTGAGATCAACATCTGGAATCGACTTTTTTGGTAAGGACCCACTAACCGAATCCAACATGAACGAACACTGTACGTTTTTTTTGTGATCCCTCTCAGTTGTCCTTAGGGTGGCTCGGATCTTTTTCCCCTGCTTATAGCTGTGCTCTTCTGAGTTTTCGGAGATTTTAATATTATCTTTGTTAGGCAGCTGGTTGGGTGAGCTCATTTTCTCTGAAATCATAACATGAAATACATTTTTTTCACGTCAAAAGAAAAACATGCTTTTAAAAAAAAAACCAACTTTATACTAATTTTATTTACTTCTTCCATTCCATAAGTGTTCATTTTTGTTGTATTCTAAATATACCTGACACATTCAAAATAGTCCCTTAACGTTATGTAAGAGGTTCAAAACCTAATAGATATCACACATAATTCAAATGCCACTCAAATACTCTGCCCATGTTTTTGTCTAACGTCATAAATTTATCAAACACTGGAACACAGGCATCCAATAGAAACCACACTGATGTCAAACATAGCGCAACATGTGAATTATGCAAATTATGTAATTTGGCTCAGTCAAATCATGATGCAGATGGTGTACGGTACAGAATGTGCACTATTTAGGTAATGATGTCGTAAGACATACGACATCACTCTCCATTTGCCTTCCTATGATATCCGCACAGAGCAGATTATTACCCGGTACTTAGCTGTGCCCACAAATTAAGATGATAAAACGTCTTAGTAGTTATGAAAATGGCAACAGGATAGTCATATCCCACTCATTCAACTATAACCCACTGATCCTTCAGCAATTACATCTAAAGTTATCTGTGGCCAGGTTTGAAACTCTGAATTATTAGGTTCCTGTCATTACAAAACCACATACCAAATTAACTTTTTACTTAAAACTTCAGTTTTTTTTGTGTTACTGCTATTTTTAAACAATGAGATAAACCTCAGTTAACTTAATTTTTATATCTTTTTTATTATACCTTCCTAGTCATTCAACTTAAGGAAAAATCTAACATGAGAACGAAAAAAACGTATTTTAGAAATGTCCATGAATGTGTAAGTAGTAATAATTGATAACCACACCAAAGAGCTCTTTGAAACATACTTCCCTCAAAATTCAAGGCACGCTGAGTCATTTTGTACCTAAGGGCATCATAATTATATTGTGGAGTTTCTAAAATAACAGGGCTATTGGAAACATTCAGTTGCCCTAATTGTAATCCTAAGAAGTGACTCTCATTACAATTATCTCTTTTACTATACATAGCAACTGGAACCAGTGACTAAACAAGTCTTCAGAGCATAAGCCTTGATGGAATGGAGAGGAATAACATTTTTTTTCTTAAAACTCCGGATTAAATCTTTCTAAAATGTCTACACTATTGCATAAGATCTAAAAGGCAAAACTATGAGGTTGTAAAACTAATTGTAAAACATTATTTCATTCCATTGACGCTAACATAATAACCCTTAACCATCTTAATCTCTCTTAGCTGAGAGAAAGAACATGGAGGGTAAGTGATTGATGATTCTGTTGAACCTCTTGAGTGGGCTTTTGAATTACTGATCGTGATGTCTTCCTGGAGAGGTTTGTCCAAGTTAGATGAAAAGGAACTCTACGCACGGCCTGCTTGCACAGCATAGCCATCTCCTGAAAATGATGCTGCAGGATTCTGCAAGGTTGCATTTTATCTCCCATGCTGTTTAAAATCTACATGAAGCTGCTGAGTGAGATCGTTTGGAGATTAAGAATAAAGTGTCACCACTTTGCTCATGACACACAGCTGTCTATTTTCATTAGCTCCAGGTGAAGCAGAAATATTAATTCAGTGTTGGCCACAGTAATGGGCTGGATAAAGGCTAACAACTTTTGCTTGTCTGTCCAGCATTTCTGAACAAGAGAAATGCTGAGAGCAGATAAGTTTATCCAGGTGAACAATGGTCCCCTTATTCTGGAAAGTGATCTGCAACTCTTACAATACAAATTTCACAGTTTGAGTTTTCTTTCAGTCACTAAAAACCCAAGTGTCCTCTGTGGTAAGTGTATTTTGCCAACATTGGTTGGTAAGGTATATCAACTTATGGACCTTATGAATCTGAAAAAAAATCCTCCCTTTTCTTGTGTTCTTTAGTATGAAATTGTTCATACTAAGAGGTTGTTAGTGCTTTGCAGAAGCAAGATGTGGTAGGTGTTCCCTTGGGAATTGGACTTTTTAGTAATAGCCTATAGATTCTGGCATGCCCTCCTTAGTAAGCCTGGAACCAACATTACTGTCTATTCATCACCAGAGAAAGATTACTTTATTATATGACTATATACAACATTTCAAAATATATGTTGGTTAGGAACTTCTAATTACTTCAACATGGCTTTTCTTGCAACTTCCAAACATTTTAAACTATGATCTTAATGTATGGTGTGCTGTCCTTGAAAAATTGGGTTTTGAGTGACAATCTAAATTTAATAAATGCATTTTTTATTAATCTTATTGTAAAAATAGCTGTTTTATCAACAGAGTATTTAAAGAAGCTTCATATAATCTGGAGCAGGGACACAACTATACATATTTGTCTTTTCAGTATTATTGAGATGCAGAGATGATGGAAATTTTACTAAAATTTATTCCAAATTTGAATACAAAAGCATAAACTCATTCCTACACTCATTTTTCCCTATATCTTGAATTTTCAGCAGTTGAGTAACAGTTACATACAAATAATGTGCATAATGGCTTGTAAACCCATATAAATATATCTAGATCTAAAAAAATATGTTTTTATTACTACTTTGTCCTTCTATATAACAACTAAGGTACTAAGTGTTATGAATAGTTAGATGGACAAAGCTAGTTCAAATCTTAGCAGGTAGCCATGCTCTTGGGATAATATAACACTGACCTATTTTAGGAGTTATTTTAAGGAAGATAAAATGTGGAATACTTTTGAAGTTCTACATCCTTTTATTCATCTCATCTATAATAAAAAGCAGCAGAAAAAGATAATTATTTAATAAACTTATAAAAGTTTTAATAAAATTATTTTACTACACCTGAAATTCTGCTAAATAGGATGAGGAATATTTCTAGTTTTTGACAATATTCATATATTTTGCAAAGCATATTGCCAATACTAATATAATACATACAGACTGACATAATAATATTTTACTTTTTTGGGGGGGGGGGGAGGAGATGCCTTTAAGTCATGGCTGATTCCTGGTGACCATCCCTGGTGGATATGTCCCTGCAGTTTTCTTGACAAAATTTCAATAGTAGTTTGTCCTTGCCTAAAAGGGGTATGCTTCCCCCAAGATCATCCAGCCAGTATCCTGGGTTCTAGTTCACTGCTTAACTACTACACCAAACTAGCTCTCAATAAAAGACTATTACCATACTGTTACTATTACCATTTAGTGAAAGTGAAAACAACATTTTGCAAAATAAAAAGTCAGTAGATGATTTTATTTTCATGGGAATAATCATGCATATTTGTCAAAATAATGTATATGCATTCAAGATATATGACTTCTATTTGCACTATCTTGCTTACATAAGCCCATGCAGAACTGTGGAGCACCTGCCTTGCTTAATAAATATAAAACAGTTAAACAGTTTCAGGAAATATCTTTTCTCTATATCAGACAACTTTGAACAATCACTGCCTGTCAGAATACATAATACCAAGCTAAATAGACAACTAGACAACCTTGGGACAAGTTGATTATTCACAATGCTATTTGATTCCTATTTCTAATTGCTTTTAATATACTTTGTAACGAATTAACCCTCTTAATCCTGCTGCTCTGCTGTGCCAGTTGTATTGCAAAAGAGCAGGTGATGAGACAGAAATCTGAGGCCCTTTGATCTTCCCACTAACACTTAGCCATTCTGTATCAGGAGTGGCAGAACAGTAGGCTCCATGCATGTAAGCTTGGCTATTCATTCTTCATCCAATGAAAAAGGGGAATGGAAGATTTCTGCACATTCAGCAGAAAGGGAGAGACTATCAATTCTCCTTCCTCTCTCCCCACATAAACAATTCATTTCTCAATTTTCACTGCATTGGATGAAAGCTCCCATTTTGTCCGTCTAATATAAACATACTGGGAAAACGACAGTAGATTTCAGGCAGAATACCACTCACTGCTGACTGCTTTACTTTTTGCAATCCAGAAAAATTCTTGCGTACCTTTCAAAGCAGAACGGTTGGTAAGTTTCCCAACGTTACTTTTCAGATGTTTCGTTGACAGGCGTTTCATCTGCCGTGGTGTACTAGGAGGGGAGGTTCCATAGAAAGTTTCAGAATTTGCTTCATCTGATAAGTCTTCAGTATCAGATTCAGATATCTTGCAAGTAGCATCTTCAAATCTGCACTCTTGCCTAAGTATATGCAATGAAAGAAATTAGGAATTATAGATTTACAATCCCCACCCCACCTTAAATGCTTTCATCTAAGTGTCAGGATCTTTCTGCACCTTTGCCACTCCAGTGATGTATATAGCAGCTCTGCCAAAGCAGGTTTTTTTCCTAGCGCATCACTTTTTTGTCTGGTTGGAAAAATCTTGTAGACTGAATTGAATTTTTTAAAATGAACCCCTATGATCAGTTAACAGGACAAAAATGAGATGTACAAATTGGTAGAATTTCCAGAATTACATCACAAATTGACATATCTACATTTGCATCTATTAAAAAATGAATATGCAATAGCACAAAGAATTGTGCATACATGTTGCCAAATACTTAATGCCTCTGCAGCAAACTTTTTGTCAAATGTGCATTGTCATGAAGTGTTATCCCTTATCTATTTGCTTGCAACTATATGAGTATAAAAGGGGTGGAAATTGCATTGAGACTACAGTATGAGGGACATTTCATCATTTGATCCTTCTTTCACCAATTCTGTGGACACCAATGCCACATAAATTGGCGATCAAACCATTAACAGGCTACTAATTTCTATAAGGGATGTGGTGGCTCAGTGGCTAAGATGCTGAAATTGTCAACCAGAAAGGTTGGCAGTTCGGTGGTTCGAATCCCTAGCGCCACGTAACGGAGTGAGCACCTATTACTTGTCCCAGCTTTTGCCAACCTAGCAGATTGAAAGCATGTAAAAATGCATGTAGAAAAATAGGGACCACTTTGGTGGGAAGTTAACAGCGTACCATGCGCATTCGGTGTTTAATCACACCAGCCACATGACCACAGAGATGTCTTTGGATAGCGCTGACTCTTCGGCTTTGTAACGGAGATGAGTACCGCCCCTAGAGCCGGCAACGACTAGCACGTATGTGCGAAGGGAAACTTTACCTTTACCTAATTTCTATATACATGCAATGCAGACTTCTTATCTCATTGGGAAAGGCAGCAGACACCTAATATGAAGACCAACATCTTCTACAAACTTAAGAATGTTTAAGTTATGTTTCTACAGAGAAAAATACATGACTTTTACAACTGAAAAAAATATTATAGAAAACCTTTGAGGGAAGGTTCTATAGAAAAACAAGAAACAGATTTTACTTATATGAAAACATTACAAATTTTGAATTTCCAGCATCAGAGAACTACAATTTCCATGTGTATCAATGCTCCTCTATAAAACCCTGCTACTATATAATATCTATGTCAGTGCAGTATCAGGATGTCAATTGGCCATGTACTGAATTACAGGCCATGTACTCAAAACTGGTGGCTTAGCAACCATTTAAAGTTACACCAGACCCCTCAAAAGTTATTTAATGACCCAGATTCATTCAAAGTTCTGGCCAGAAACCCCCTCCTGCAATCATGTGACCACATTTTGAGCACTTTGGCAAGCAGCCTGCATTTATAGTTGTTTGTGGCATCCCACGGCCACATGATTTATGAAGTTTTTACCCCAAACCAGCATTTATTTCATTTCTGGCAAAAAACACCACATAGCAAACAATGGATTGCTTAACTGCCGTATTTGTTTAATGATTACTGCATTCATTTAGCAAACACTGCATAAAAGGTCTTAAAATCTATCCTGATCACACAATGACCTGTTTAACGAGCATTATGACAGGAACATAATTGCAGGCTCACTTACAGTCGTAAATCGAGGACTATCTCTACTTAAATCTAATGTATCCTAAAAGGGCCAAGAAAGAAGATAACAGATCTGGCTCTCCTGGTTCTATGTGAATAAACTGAAGAAGCTGTGTAGAGAGAAGTTATTGGGAGTAAACATTCTAATATTCGAAAGATTATCCTTTACATGGAAAAAAAAAGAGACTGAACCTAAGCCAATAAATTCACAATACCAAAAAGACTATTTTCATTAAACATCATTAAAAATGTCCTCATTATACTATTTAGTACTGGAATAACCTATATCAGAAAACACTGGAATCCCTTTATATGTTTTCAGTGGAAGCAGAACAGTTACTCAGCACAAATGTTATAATATTTAAAACCTCTAGATGTATTGGATGAGATGAACATCAAGGAACCTTCAAAGTTAAGAACAGAGTGACTTCCAGTGGCGTTTCCATTGAAGATGGATCAGAGACCGCAATCGTGTGGGGCTTTGATCCATGTTTACCTTGTTGGAAGGGTTCCTGTGGGACCGGAACCATCTGACCCACCTCAGATGTATGGGGGAAGAAGGGGAGACCACCAGCTGGGTCGAGGGGAGCCACATCTCCCCTCCCTAGCTAGGTATTACTCCTCTGGAAGACAAGGAGAAACGGCAGTTTAATGGCTGCCCTGAAGGCGGAAAGCTGCCGGGACCTAAGCATACGCTGGAGCGGTGAAGTGGTGAGCGATGTAACCAGATAAAAGAACTTGATTTTTTCTTAATAACCCTGAGAAGCAGAAAGAAAGAGCCCTCGCTTAAGAGTATCATAGCGGTGAACGGAAAATAAGAGGAAAATATAAGGTAAACAAAATTGGAGCATAAAAAGCCACAATGAAATTAGAGACTAAATTTGGAATAATATATATAATTTGGCATTAGGCATTGGACAAAATGCTGGACTTGCCTGGAATTGACTATTTTTAAGGAAGCTAATAGTGGAAATGGTTGGAAATTACCGTAAATATACTTGAAAAGAGAAAAGAACTTTGAAAAGTGGAAAGTGATATAGCGCCATCTAATGGTTAAATACTTTTTTCCTTCAGAATTTTATGGAAAATGGGCCTTGGTAGAATTACCTGAGAATGCCCTTTCTATATACACTGCAAGAGTGTCCAGGAAATGGGTGTGACTCCTCCTACTGACGTCATAGAGCTTGGTCTGCCACTATAAAACCAATCAGCCTTAGCTGCTCGCCATCTTTTAGGCAAAGATTCTTGACAGACATAATGTGTCTCTGAAAGATAAACAAACAAATTAGAACCAAACAAACCCCCCCGGACGAACTAGGTCGGGGCTGGACACACTTGCGGCGTATATAGAAAGGGCGTTCTCAGGTAATTCTACCAATGCCCATTCTCATACACTCTGCTAAGAGTGTCGAGGAAATGGGATATACCAAAGCTCGCCTGTTCATGGGAGGGTCAACGTCTGGGCAGGTCACTCCAACTGTGGAATCACCTGCTGAAGCACCCTCTGTCCAAAGGAGGCGTCCGCCGAAGCAAAGGAATCCAACCTATAATGACATATGAAAGGCGATGGCGACGCCCAGGTAGCCGCCCTGCAAATCTCCTCCAGCGAAGCCTGCATAGACCAGGCAGCTGAAGTAGCTGCACTTCTAGTGGAGTGGGCCGTGATGTTCATAGGCACTGGCAGGCACAAAGCTTGATAGGCCTTGGCGATGCAAGATCGAATCCACCTCCCAATCGTAGAGGGAGCCACCTTGGTACCCAAGGAGGTGGGATGAAAGGACACCAATATGGCCTCCGATTGTCAGAATTCTGCTGTCCTCTTGATATAAATCTTGAGGACCCGCCTTACATCCAGCCTGTGCCACCTACACTCCAACTCAAACCAGGAATTCACCTTAGGAACAAACGTGGGATCTAATCTCAGTAACACCCGGTTCTCGTGGAACACACGAAGATCTTGCCTAATGGAAAAACACTCCGACACCCTCCTGGTCTAAGTGATGGCCACCAAAAATGTCATCATTTGAAGAGAAACTGACTTAAGGGGTTCAAAGGGAGGCCCCGTAAGGGTCTGTAGAATGGAAGGGAGATCTCACGTGGGAAATCTGTGAACCACTGGAGGACAAAGGTTAGTCTTCCCCCCCACCAGAAACCTGCGTACAGAGGGATGATGAGATAAGGAATCAAAACTCTCCCAGGCCAAAACAGAGGACAGAGCCGCCACTTGGCGGCGAAGAGTATTGGGGGCGAGACCCTTATCAAGGCCATCCTGGAGGAAACTTAACACCTCTTCAAAGGACACCAAGGAAGGCACAACAGCAGACTTGGCTGCCCATGAGCAGAAGACCTTCCAGGTAGCATCGTAGCTGCACAAGGTGGAAGGCTTCCGGGAGGCCTGAATGGTGTCAGTCACCCTATCAGAAAATTTGGCCTCCTTCAAGGTCTGCCGCTCAAGTGCCAAGTGCCAAGTCTTGAGGATCCTAAATACATTAATTTTATTTTAATTTTACTTCTTTTTAGTGTTTATTATATATCGATCTTGAGTTAATTAATGAAGACAATAATGTATAAGGCAAAATAAAATAGGTGGTAAGCTGAAAATGGAAATAATAGGGGATAAAGAATTAGAAATATATGTGAGGAAATGATTTTGATATTGAATTAACGAATTGAAATATGAAATGGAAATTTATTTGAAGATTAGTGGAGTGGATAATAATTTGATGTGATATTAAATAAGAAAGTTGAAAATGTAAGTATGACTATGTATAAATATTGTAATCTAAATCATGTTGCTCACATGAAGAGATGTGTAAAAAATAAAAATAAAAAACTTTTTTTTTTTAAAAAAAGTTAAGAGTAGAGGTAGTCCTTGACTTACAACCACAATTGGGCCCCAAATTTCTGTTGCTAAGTAAGACAGTTATTCATTTTGTGACCTTTCTTGCCATAGTTAAGTGAATCACTGCTGTTATTAAATTGGTAACATGGTTGTTAAGTGAATCTGGCTTCCTTATTGATTTTGCTTGTTAGAAGGTCACAAAAAGTGGATAACATGACCCCAAGACACTGCAACTGTCATAAATACGAGTCAATTGCCAAGCATCTGAATTCTGATTATGTGACCATGGGTATGCTGCAATGGTCATTTAAGAAAGGTCACAGGACACTTTTTTCACTGCTGCTGTAACTTCCACTAAACGAACTGTTTTAAGCAGAGGATTACTTGTAGTTCAGTGTAGAAAAACCAGATTTCAAATTATGGAACCTGTTTCCTCATTAAAATGATTTTGTGGTAAAAAGCC